TTTTGGCACGTAGCTATTTATTACTAGCATTGTTCTTCCGACGTCTGATTTCTTTTTAATTATAGGAAATGCGTTTTTCTAATGTACATTAACTTCTGGGATTGACTGTATAGCCAATACATCCTTAATTACTTGACTAACACAAAAACTTTGGACGTACGATATTAATAACGAGAGTTCGGCAATTAGAGTTTCGAACAACAGAAAGATACCATATGAAATCTTTTACCTTTTCTGTCACCTTCCTCTCGACGATGGATGACCGTCGGCTCTCCGTCGTCACTTCTTCTTCGGTCTGCATAACATTTGAAAAAGAGTCGTTTAGTCGAACAGGTAGTAGATGTATCGTATAGGAATGAATGTTTCGATTGGAAATTTGCTTCAGCTTTAGTTCGGTTCAGTGCTCGTGTACCTTTTGCATGGAAAAGCGTCGCGGGGGCGGGGATGCGCGGCCGTCTTGGAACGTCTACGTGTTTGAAAAAAAATAATAAAAAAAATATGTTGGATCTGTATGAGCAATCGGTGTATAGCGCGCGTTATAAATTGGGAATGAGTTTCGCCGAATGCAAAAATCTGTTCAACCTTTTCATCCGTTGTCACCAGAGAACTTCTTCGGCTTTCTGTCCTCAGTTCCTCCACCTGTCGCGAGATCGTTATGAAATAATCGATGTCGATGACAATTTGTTAAACAACGTAGAATCGAATTACTTACTCTGCTGATAGATTGTTTTCGAGACACGGTTTTCTCTGTTTTGAGGGCAGGCTCCTGGAACAAAGAATAACGCAGTGCAAAAATTGAAACATTTTTAGGAATTCATCGAATGAAATTGAAAGTATATGCTTACTTCTTTCTTTTCTTCCTCTTTCTTGGTAACCTTTTTCTGTGTACAGAGGCAAATTTCATTCGATTAATTTACATATCGGCTCGCTTCAACGAGTCTTACATAAAATTTATACATTTTCGGATAGTTACCTTTTCAACTTCTTTCTTCTCTTCCGGTTTCTTCTACGCAAAATTATACAAGTCATAATTCGTTCTTACAAATAGACTTAACGGTGTTAACATGCGTTACAAAATCAAACAGCACAGCAGAAAAAGCACGCAAACAGGAATGAAAGGAGGGAGTATGGAAGATTTATTGCAAAGCTCAGTTTTTAGGGCAAAATAATAATAATGAAGCGTATTGATCAGCCGATCGGTATTGATTCGACTCGGCTGGTCGTCCGTACCTGTGAACGAACGGCAATAATAAAAATGAAGCTGCGATAAGCTGAAACAGACCAAGTATTCGTTAGCGAAGCTGTACGTGAAAGTAAAGTAAGCGATTGGTTATGCTTGAACGCTACTAATTGTTCGCAGTGGAATCGACAAGCCGATAATTCGAGCGCATACTTCGCCACTCTTAAAATTAAATTAAACGTTTTATATCTATCACTGACCTGCAACACTTCCAGTTTCTGAAACAGAAAAAGAAACGATCATTTTATTGCATACTCGCCGATTTATATCTACGAATCATCTCTCTTATCTCATTGGTTTTTAATATTCACATACGTGGGACGAGTATACGCGACCAGGACAAGAATGCAAGAGCTAGGAACCGTAGGGAGTTAAATGATTCTGTATTTGTGTTCCCAGAACGTGTAAAATTTATCAATTTTGTCTAGAAACAAAAAAAGGAAGGAAGAAAGAAAGAAATGGTCGTCCGTACCTCCTGTTTGGCAGGTTTGTCGATACCGTTGGGTCTCTTGTCGAGTGTGTCCTTAAAAAATAATTCAAAACAGGGTTTGTCATTTACCGAGGGCATCAAAAAGATATTGCCTGTTGCGAAAGAGACAAAAAGGGAGGTGGCGCGTAAGAGCGTGTCACGAAGTGTAGAGCATTAGTCACGAAGGGGTAAACAGATTACGAGAAACAAAATGGATTTCGATTTGGGACAGTTTACCTTCTCTTCCTTCTTCTCTTCGATCTTTTCTACCTTCTTCTCCTCTTTTTTCTTCTTCTCCTCTTCGATTTTCTTCTCCTCTACCTTTTTCTTCTCCTCAACCTTTTTCTTCTCCTCTTCCTTTTTCTTCTCCTCTTCTTTTTTCTTCTCCTCGATCTTTTTCTTTTCTTCTACCTTTTTCTTCTCCTCCTCTTCTTTTTTCTTCTCCTCTTCGATCTTCTTTTTCTTCTTCTTTTCCTCCTCTTCGTCCTTCTCCTCCTCTTCCTTTTTCTACAATACGTACAAGGTGTCGCATGCAACATTTAATGACGGAACCACGTACATGTTCAAGTACACATAATATAGGAAAGAACAATTTTTAAAATATGTATGGGGGGGGGGTACGTATCGAAACGATAAGTGAGTCGAACGGGTGACACAGGCCGAAGTACATACGGGTTTGTGCCTGATCAAATTTCGAATTTACCTTGACGATCAACCGCGCCGACGATTCGTCCTGACCGAAGTCATTGCTGACGACGACCCTGTAGTTGCCGGTGAACGAAGTGGAAGCGGACGTGATCGTCAGTTTCATGTCCGTACCGTTGAAAGATATCATCACGTCTTTAGAGGCCTTGATCAACGTGGTGTCTCTGCGAAGACCAACGAACGTCAAATATCGCGACCGCATTGTTTCAAACGAAGAAATTATTTGAAGAAGTAAAGACATTCACCTGTACCAGGTGATGGTCACTTTGCGGTCCTGCTTCGTGAGACTGGCGACGAGCTCGACCGATTTACCCTCCTCGATCGTTATCGATTTCAGCCCGGACTTTATCTTAGGCTTTTCTCCCTCTTCCATAATTTCTGTCACCTCCACGACTTGAGACGTCGCCTCTCCCTTCTCGTTTCGGGCGACCAGTTTGTAGACGCCTTTGTCGGCGGCCGACACTTGCTCGATTTCCAATTTCACAGCGAATTCACCCTATTATCAAAAATCGAATTACCCAGCTATTTCTAACGACAAGATCCAGGATATAGAGTTCGTAAGAAGGTTTCACGCACGTCCTTCACTTGCTCCACGTGCACTTTGTGCCTGTTGTCCTCTTTGACAGCTTGCGTTTCTTTGAACCAAGTACATTCCGGCGTGAACTTGGAGAGCACGTGACACTCGACCACGACCGTCTTCTTCTTCACGATCTTGATCACCTTCGGCTTCTCCTTGATCACCGGAATAACTGCGTAGGAAGAAATGATGAATTAAGGATCGACGAGCATTTTGGAAAGCTGTCGTAGAATCATAAAAATCTGAATCAAGTCTCACTTTCGACGTTGAGCGTCAAGTTGGCGTTCAGTTCGCCGAGAGCATTCTTGATGTTACACTTGTACAATCCCGAATCGTCGGGTCCTGGATCGTTCAGACTCAATTTGATGTAATACACGTCCTCCGATTCTTGTACGACGCTCAGCGAGATTTTGGAGGATTCTTTGATCACCTGACCCGCGCGAGTCCACACGATCTCCGGTTTTGGATTCGCTTTCACCTTGCAGTCCATGATTACGAGTTTACCCTGATTTTGAGACTGAATCCTCGGCTTCTCGACGAAGGTCGGTCCGTCGCCCTCGGGTTCCGGCTCGGCCTCGATGTTCAGATTCAGATTAGCGTTGCTCTCGCCGTATTCGTTCTTCACGTGACACCTGTAAGTGCCGCCGTCCGGCGCCGAAGGATCCTGGAACGATCGTTCACTGCCAGACTGATCTCGCGACATGGACAAAGTACAAACGTTCATAGAAAAACCGTTGTAATGTTCACCTTAATTTCCATGATTAATTCGTAAACGTCTTCCTCCACGGTGTTGATCTTGATCGAGATCTTGGAAGATTGCTTGACGACGTTCGTCCCCCGGAACCAGGTGACCTCCGGCTTCGGGTTCGCCTTGCACTTGCACTTCATCGTGATCAGTGTACCGGTCTCGTTCGGAATGATGCGTGGTTTCTCGACGAACGTGGGTGCGAAACCGGGTCCTTCTTCTGCATCTTGGAAAGATCCACGGTTAGACGCGACCGAGAGTTGACCAACGACCACTTCCGGCTCGAACGGAAGTGGCTCGATTGCTCGCTCGTACGAGCTACTTCGTCGGTCGATTAGTAAAACTAGTAAAAGTCACGTGCTCCTGAATTCTTGCGAGAAATTCAGGAGCACTTAACTGACAAGCAACGAACGAACTCTGATTAGTCAGCGATAGCGCAACGTACTGCGGACTTACCCGACTGGACGAGACCGAACGTTTACGCCTTTCGTTTCATATACTCGTACATGCATGCGTAAGTGGATAATAGACGATCGATTCTCCCAAGAACCGTTTGAAATTCGAGTTCGACGTCGAGACAGATAAATATGTACGTATACGTGCTAGGAAACCGAGAGGGAAGGCGTCTCGGCTGGCTACTAGCAACGAGCGACGAGTCCGAGCCATTCGCATCGGACAATCTCGCCGTGACGAAGATGACGACCGATGCTCGACGCGAGCAGCGAGACAACGCGTGCGACACCGATGCGAATAGATCGGAAAGAGAGTAGCCAGGGAGACGCGGCATGCCGCGTCGACTTGCCTTGGAAGTTGAGAGAGATGTTGGCGTTACTCTCGCCGAAGTTGTTAAACGCGTTGCACCGATAATTTCCACCGTCGGCCTTCGTCGGATTCGAGATCTCGAGCGTGAGCAAATACGCGTCCTTCCCGGTCGCCTTGCGTGACATCTTCACGCGTTTACTGTCGGCGATGGGCTTCTGGCCTTGGTACCAGGTAATGTCCGGCACCGGGTGAGCTTCCAAGATACACTCCATGATCAACACGTCCCCTTCTTGTCGAATCGTCGGCTTCTTTGGGAAACGCGGCGGTTTACCGTCTGGTATTCTGCGTAAATCCACTCGTGAAACACTCGGCGCGGCATCGAGACGATCCGCGATTTGTTTTTTTTTTTTCGGTAACGATTCCGTTCCGTCGCGTCGCCGGCAAGCGGTATGCTCACGGTGACCGTGCTCATTTTCAACGAGACGAATCTCGTTCGTTTCTTCAACGACGAGACCGATAGTACTCGTCGACGTATACGTATATCGTACGGCGGTCACCGTGAGCATAACCGAGATCGAATCCTGTGAAAGAAATGCAGCGACGCGAGGAGAAATACCGTCTCGATGCATACTTGAGCTTGTCACCCCCCTCGAAGTTCAAGTTGATGGTGGCCACGCCCTGACCGTGCTTGTTCTTCGCAACGGCCTTGTATTCCCCGGCGTCTCCTTTTGCGACGTTGTCGATCCTCAACCTCGCTAGATGATACAGTTTTTGATCCAGTTCCAACGACATCCCGTATCTTCCACCCTCTTTCACCTCATCGCTACCGTGATACCTAATCATCGCCACGTTTCATTTTGCAGGAACTTTCGACTTCGCGATTGGAAGTACGAGACAGGTAGAAAAAATTCGCGTAAGCATGCGGCGACTCGACGCGAGCGTCGATTCTCCTCCGGGATAAAACGTTAGAAGGCCGTCTGATCGTACTTCCGTGAACGTGCGGGGGAGGAGGGTTGTTTCTTACCACTTGACGCTCGGTTTTGGGTCGCCTACTAATCGGCACTCGAAGGTGATGGTGTTACCGTCCTCCGATTGCCTTATGATCGGTCGTTCGGTGAACGTCGGTTTAATACCGTCGTCGGGGACCGGTGCCTCGTCGCCTACGTTCATACAAACGAGCTGCGATCTCCAAAATCCTTACAACAACCTTTTTACGCTTAATCCCTTCGCACCCTCGTCTACATCCTCGGGCTGCGGAAGGTTTAAGCCCTTCGATCCAAGGTCAGAGCTACGTATCGATTTTCAAATCCTCCTAGCTTATAGGTTGCTTCTCACTCGTCGCGTGTCCATTCGTCTCCGTATCCTGGTATCACGTCGTCGTCGCGTATCGTCATAAACAAGTAAACCGTTGCATCGTTGGACGAATAAAAGAACGGAATGGAAACGCGTGGAGCGACGCGCGATGGCGACGTGATACGAGGATACGCACCCTCGCTATCCTGTCTGTAGACCGTAGACTTTTACCCTTTCCCTTGCGTGTACTGTCTGTACCGGTATCTCGGATACACGTGTCTCTTCTGTTATTCACATTTTTGGTTGCAAGCTAGTTTTTGTTTCGAGTGCAAGCTAGAAAACGTGTGAGTGGACACGTCTACTACGTTCTGAATCGCGTTACATCAACGTCACAGTCACACGGCAAACGATGTGATGATATGCAGAATGAGAATAAAATGTGTGCGTGTACGTGAATCGTAGCGACCTAACGAAGCGTCAGCGTGTTGCGATCGGCGTTCCATTTCCCGTTCCCGTTCCCATTCCCATAGTGCGCGGGCGAGCGAGACTCGCGGTCAGACGACGGGGTACTCGTGGAATGCCAATCGCGGAATTAATACGTGATCGAAGCAGCTTTCGTTACGGATTAATCGTATTTCCATTTGCGATCTACCAACTTCCGGTACCTACTCCTTTTCCTTTAAACATTTTAATCGTCTGGGTTGTATATCGTCGCTCGTTTCATCGAGCCGACAATCGATACGTGCTCATTGCTCGACCGAGTAAATAATTAAAAAATAAATTGTCACACGCACGAATCGAGACAGAATAATGGGTAAACAAAAAGACGATCAGGTGAACAGAAAAAATAATGAATAAAGCAATGTACAGGTCGTGGTAATTGGTAGTGAGACGAGATATCAGGGGGAATCAAAGACGTCGATTACCGATATACATCCCCGTAATGAGAAAAGTGGAAAAGTGGAAAAGTAGGTAATGGACGACGATCCAGTTCACGTCTACGGAATCTTAGGTTCGCAGAATGGACCAATCTTGACTGTTATTACGCGTGCAGGGTGCACGGTACTCATGAACGTCGTCCCGGTAATTGGGCATAGACGTGAACTGTATCGGCGTTTGCTCGACGCGTGGACAAGGCCTGATCACCAATTTTGCATGGTACTTACTGTCGAAGTTCAAGGAAATGGTGGCGTTAGATTCGCCGAGCTCGTTCTTCGCGGTGACCTTGTATTTGCCAGCATCCTCGACGGTCACGTTCTTAATTTCCAATGTTGCGAAGTACGAGTGGCCATCTTTGTCGACGGTGAGCTGAAAACGGTCGTTGAATTATCCGGTAACGAATCGAGCGAGAACCAATGGTCGTCGACGTATTCGGTTCGGCTCTGAACACTGAACCGTCGTCGGACCGTCGAATCTACGGTCGATGGGATCGGAACGAACCTTGTGCCTCGGCGAATCTTTGACCATGTCCCCATCGTGAAACCACGTCACCTTGGGCGTGGGATCGGCTGTGATGCGACATTCGAAAAGTAATCGTTTACCATCGTCCTCTTGTCTGATAGCAGGCTTCTTCGCGAAAGTTGGCGCGATTCCATCGATTTGTCTGCAACCGCAGATCAAAAGTTCAAGTGTATCCGACTGGTGCACGGTTACTCGCTAGACCCTCGACACGACAAACGTTAGCATGCTAGAACGTTGGATCGGATCAAGTTACAACGATAGGATTCGCGATGTTGGCTACAGCGGGCTAATTTACAGTAGAACGGGTCGGTGCTTGGTCGGACGAGCCAAACGGGTTTTGCAACTTTTCTAGATGGAAAGAAAAATTGAAAACCACTTGGCAAAATAGCGAGATCGTGCAGTCGCTCTTAAGTTTAATGCGATTTCGGGGAATCGATGCCAGCGGCTACTCTCGTTACGATCAGTTTACACGTTTGGCCGCGCCGCCGTCACGTGTGCGCGTTACTTACGATCGATTCGTTTCAGCGAATTCCCTGACAACGAGGGTCTCTTTACGCGAGTTCAACGTTCCGCTCTTGTAAATGCTGCGATTCGGTTCCGTGGTACGCGGATTCGCGACGTGTATAAAATGTAACGAATGATGATCGGAACGATACTCAGGCCGTGAACGAGATGCCTAGATCGCGAGTAAAATGCGTTCTCCTTGATTCTTGTTTCGCATTAAAATCTCCGATCCGATCGACGACGGTCGATCCAATGAGCTGCCTGCGCCGGCATTCGAAAAGAAAGATAAAACGAGGCGGGGCTGGTTCCAAAGCGTGAAACGAAAAGAATGGCAGATGCGAGGAACGTCGAGACTAACTTTAGCCGTTGATTCTGAGAAGAAGTAGGCTGCAGCTGTTCCCTCGGATTTTCACAACGTCGATCGACCGATTCGTCTTATTATACGTTTCGCGTAGGTACGCGATTCGTGAAAGAAACAAAAAAAAAGCTCGCGTTACTTTTAGAAATCCGGGGAAATCGATCCGAAAATATAACACCTTCCCGAGCTTGTCGTCCCCGGAGAACAAAGTTTCGACCCAATTTCTATCCGTCTTTCGAATTCTCGGAGCGTCAGTTAAGTAGCCCGTAATTGCCGTACTAGCATCGAGCGGCCAACATCATAAATCCACCGCCCACACGCGTAACGAGTGCTCGACGGAGAGGTCTTGAACGCGTCGAAGGTAATAAACGTTATTGGTTAAAGAGGAGGATTCTATTTCTACGTCGCGGTACGCGTGGGTGGAAAACAGAAATTTTCAATCGTTAAAACCGTATCGAGCTCTCCGTTATCGTTCGGACTGCGTGTGCGCGTGAGCGCACGTGAACGCGCCCAAAAATAGCCAACGTTCCACGACGATTATTATTAGTCAGCCACGTTGCACCTAAACTCTAAACACTCCGGACGAAACACCGTCGCTCTCGTTGCAATTTAGATTTCTCTCGTCAACGTGACCGATCTCGTTCTCGTCTCGCGGTTAGTCAACGTAGATGCAGAAAAGCGACACCACTCACCCTTCTCTGTCAGTCTCTTCCGCAGCTGTACAAAAAGAGAAAAGCGTGTAAAGCGAAGCGATTCTAGTTAATAACGGCGGTAAAAGGAAAAGCAAAAGTAACGGCAAAAATAACAACAAAAGTAATGGCAGAAATAAAAGCAGAATTGTGTAAAGAGCCCGGAGAAGCGACAAACGTTCGTCGAAACGCAATCTTTCGAACTTACTTCTCCCTAGGCTCGTCGACAGCTGGAAAAGTAATCAAGTATTATTTCGAATCGTCGTACGAGGCTCGATCGTGAAAGTTCGTGACTTTAAGGATCGCGTACGCACGTCCAGCGAAACGAAGTACAAAGGGTCGCGAACGTTTTGCTGCTATCGATGAAAGGGAGCGACTCTTGGACATTTCTACGGTACCCCGTTGCGCGACGTGTGGTAACAAAAGAATCTGCTACTCACGGCTGAAGTTCAGATTAATGGAAGCTGCGACTTCGCCCATCTTATTCTTGGCCTTGACCTTGTACAAGCCCGCGTCCGTCTCGATGACGTCGTCGAGCTCGAGGACGACCAGGAACTTGTTCGTCCCGATGCTCTGCATCTTGAAGTTGGTCCTGGAATCCGGACTGAGCTCCGTCTCGCCTCGGTACCATGATATGTCCGGTTTAGGCGAGCCGATCAATTGACACTCGAAGATCAGTCGGTTCCCGTCGTCTTCCTGCCTGAGCTGCGGCTTCTGGGTGAAGCTCGGCGCGAAATCGTCGGCGACCCCCATGGTGTTGGGTCGCCCTTACCGCTCTCCCTCGGGTGGCACGCCACCCTCGTCCTCACAGAGACTTCTTCCTCTCTTCTCCCTCTCCTCTCTACGTCTCCGAGAAAGGTTCACTGAGGGTCGGGGGGGTTCAAACGGTGCCGGCCCGCGGCACCATCCAACTCTCCCTACCGCCTTCGGTGAGTTTCGACGCTTCGATACCTGCCGTTTGGAAACGTCAAAACGTTTTCAAGACGTTGCCGACGTAATTTGTTAACTGGTTTCGCGCGTTGCGATTCGGACGATCGCGAGATCGGGACGGTGCGAATGGACCGTGAGCGTGAAACGGTAGAGACGGTATTTTCGTGGAATTCGTGACTCCAAGCATATTTTCCAAGACGCCCAAGGCCGAATAATTGCGTAACACTTCTATTATTAATACGACTCTTGGCTCGAAAATAGGTGAACCAGTTATCTCGGTAATCGGTTATTACGTTTGCCGTATAACTGTGAAGAGGTATGCGTTCGATTCGCGATAATCAGCTGTACATACACCGTAACAGGAGAAGACAGAACGGTCTCTCTCGAGAGTAGATCTGACCGTGATCGGCGATCAGATCCAGATTCGATTTGGAGTCATCACGAATCGCTGAATCAAACGTCACCCGCGATCGACGACCGAAGATCGGAATCGATCGACAAGGAGCGACGAGGCGAGAGGTGAATCGCGGCGGGGGAAGAAGCGGATAATGTGGAATCAAGAATGGACCAAGTGTTACAACGACGTCGCGGTAAGACTTGGCACGGCGCCTCGAGACATTCCTCGGATCATTCGACACCCTTTTCCACTCATCTTGTTTCTCCTTTGCGCTTCGTAGCGTCGAACTTGGCGAATTCTAAAAAGCTCTGTCCTCGAGGCGAACGAAGAAGGGATGAAAACGTGGTCAATCGAAATTCTGGGTTAACGAACTCGATGTTCCATTCTGCGAAACTGAGACTCGAGTCGACCTTTCCAACCGCGAGTTCTTTGCTCTTTGTTCGAGATACACTTTTGACAGGAGAGGTTCGTGCGTGCCAACTGAAGAAGGGAATGACCGAAGCGAATACCGAAAGGGATGTTCGAACGCGTCCGTACACTCCAATTCTATTAACGATGCATAGAAGGATGAACAATTTTAATTGCAAATTCCGAAACGAAATCGAGTCGATGAGAATTCGAAAATCTGTAACGAGCGAGTAGTCGAGAATCGTGCGTCGGCGTCGACGGTCATCTGAAACTTTTCTTACGAGGGAACAGCATATTTTCCAAGTATGATATACGACGAAGATGATTGGGCATTGTTCTGCGACGTAAGTGAGATTTCGATGCGCGAAGTGATCGACGGATGAACAGGTGTCGTGACAGAGGAGGAGCGCGCGTATGTCTCAACATTTTTACCCCCTCCCCCCGCGACTGACTTGGCATAATTTTATTGTCTTCTCGCGACGCGATATGCTCGATGACAGACTGACCCAATAACAAGTGGCCTGACGGCACGAAGGTACGGTTATAAAAAGAATGAATGAAACATTGTTAGGAGATTACCAGACGAAAATATCGCTGTACTCATTTCTCTGATAGAGATCGCGAAACGATGACGATCCACTTCTTCGATTCAAAGGGATAACCCGACGCAAACGCTGACGAATTCGAGCGACAATTAAAAATGGATCGCGAGTCACACTCCCTTCTACTTTCCTCTGGATTTATTTTCGTGGACTGATTCAAGTTCTGGTGACCAGCCTCGCGAAGATATTCTCAATTTCGAATTCCTGATGGAAGAAAGCTCGACGAATAGAATCGAGATCAGGTGGACGAGGAACATTCTGCGTGACACATCTTTGGGACACGTCGTCGAAAATACTCGAGTAAATGGCTGAGCAACGTTCGGCGTGTCTAAAAAGAGGCGAACGCAGTGTTTTCGATCGGGAAGGCGCGACGGACGAAGAACGTCGAAAACGATGGATCAGTCATCGTCCCGTGCTAATTTCGAGCAGGCACCTGGCAATCAACAGGTGCAATTATTCGTCGGATCTGGCGAGCATCGGATTTATCGTGCATCAGCGGCGAGAGCGGTGAGAAAACGGATGGAGGCAGCGACGGCCGAAACAGCGAATGAACCGTTCCTCCTCACGTTACGTCTTCTAAAAATAAGCAGACTTCGAGCCTAGATACCTAGATAGTGGTCTACGAATAGTTCGCGACCGTAGCAGACTCGTGGCAATTAGTCACGAGCAGAGTTTCAAGATTCGGGAATCGAGCACTGATCTTCGAACGTATCTGGCGAACAATTATGACAGCGGGACGACGTGACGACAACGCAACGACGACGCATCAGACTCGTCCGTATACCAGTTTCTACCACTGGAGGTAGATTTTCTACCGGTCTCTTCCGTCCGAGTATGGGCAAGGGTGTAGACGCCTTTACCTCTTTTATTCGCACCGTGTCGATCCGGCGATCTCCGAGTGGACGCGAGGGGGGCACTCGTAACACTTTTAAGCACTGAAGCACCAGGAGCACCCGCGATCCACCGTTCAGATCGGATCTCTGCGACCCAGTCGATTCGATCCTGTGTCGAAAGGGTGACTTACTTGAAGCGTGAGATATCCAAAGACCTTCCAAAGAAAATCCTATTACGGTTCCTGGCACCTCGGCGTAGATCGACGCGTTTCCCGCGCACTATCGATTCTCGAAACGAAACGCGAGCACGCGAAATAAAATGTTACAAAAAAAGAAAGTGAGAGTAGTGTAGAAAACGTTCGGTCGTCTCGGTCGTGGTCGTCGTATTCGTTTCGCGTTGTTGCTCCGTTTTTAAACTGTATTGTACACGTATTCCGTTCGTTCAGCCCTGTCCCTCTTCTTTTATACGGACGGATACCAGGTATCTTGGTCTCTGGCTGTGTTGGTCTCAGACCCCGCGCGCCAACTAAGCGCACGGAACATCCTGGTCGCACCTCCACGTCCAGGCTGGCACCTCTGCGTCGGCGCCGATTCCCCGAGAATTTCTCTGCACTGGCAATGGGTGGTTCCCCACCTCGTCGATGGGTACAGTGTTGCACACCCACGCTTCAGAATCTCGAGCCCGATTCCCAACGTTGATCACCGAGTCCTGCGCACGGCTCGCCGCCCCTTAAGGGGTAGATCCACCCCTTTACACTTCACGCCTGCGCTTACACCCTTTGTTCTTGGCGCTTCCGTTGCTATTGAACTTGAAACCTCGTACGTAGCATGTAATTAGCGGTGGGGAATAAGGGGGTGCGGGGGTACGGAGGTGCGCTCTTCTGGCGAAAATAACGACCGCTGAATGTTTCGCGAATCGCATTGACCCAGCTTGAAAAAAGATCTTGCGACCTTACGACCGATTAATTATTGTTCCAACTAAATCGGTCCCAGTAAATTCAGCGTGCAACAATGTCGCGCCGACGACATTCCCGAGTCGAAATTAGACTCTTATCCTTAAATATAATTGTGTAGGACTCGATACCGTACGTGCATGAACAGCTAAATGCGTCAATGAGAATCGATGATCGATGAATCACGATGATCCATCGAGAACAGATAGAGAGATATCATAGCGGGTAGGAAATAGAAGCTCGGAACAAGAAAAAGTGGGTCTTGGCCGCCGTTCGACGAAAATAAGCAGTTCGCGTACGACGCGCGACGGTTTTTTTTTTTGCGAACGATGTCGTCACCGTTTTAATTCGCGAGCTCTTTAACTCTGGTATTCGAATTTCTACGCGATCGCGAGACGTTCCTGGCCAGATTTCAAAACTTGGATCGAATACCGAGTCGATACGTTTGCTCAAATTTCCTGCGACTCTCGTCTGACTAATACGCGCCGATACCACTGCCTCTCCTCTTCTTTCCTTGTTCCTGTTGGGTTCGGAATTAGCTCACCGACGAAAATCGAATTGTCGTCGCGTCGCGTCGCTTCGTCGTCGCCACGATCGACTTCTCACGAAATTTCTTTGCAATCCACTTTACATCTGCATTTGCGATAAATACATACATACATACATACGTACGTACGTACGTAGAAGTATCGTGCGTAATTCCTCTCCTAGGAATCTCTCTGTTGGAAAGTAGGTTGAATCAGAGCGAATGAGATATCGGTAAGTGGTGCGAGACGCGGGAAAAGGTTGATAGTGAGCAATAAACGGGAGATGGGAGATGGGAGATCGCGAAAAAGGGGGAGAAATCTCGCACGCACGCGGTGTCGAGATACGAGTCTCTCTCGGTTCTGGCACGAGCCGAGCACTTTTCTAAATATACACGATCGCCCCCTTCACCGCTGAATCTATCTTTGCGTATTAGAATCTATAACCAAAAGCCTAAAGACCCGCTCACGTTCCTACGATGAATCGATCGATCCATAGATTCATCGATAGCTTCTCTCGATCGGCCCATGCGTCGCGTCTGTTTCCCGGTATTAACGAGAATAGTTACGGCTCGACGAATGGGGGAACCATTCATTTATTTATGCAGAACGTGTTATGCTCAAGCTTCAGCGAAGTTACGTTAAGTCACACGTTCCCAAAATACCATTTTATCGCGATTTTTCTCGATTACTCCTTGACACTTGATACTTGGAAGATTGCAAGGACGAACGTTAAGCGGATTCGTCTGTCTCAACAAAGATCGGAGAGACGTGGTAGCTGAAGGCGGCCGTGAAATTTTGACTGGAATATAATCGAGAATCTGGGAACGTGTTGAACATTGCCAGGTGTGATTTACGAGGGGCGGTACACGATTCACCGCGAGCAAATAAACGGTGCCACGTATAAATCCTGCGTTTTCGCGGAAACGAAAACAGCCGAGTCAAACGAAAAGAATGCCAGACAGAATTGCAGCTGCTCTCTCTCTACTTTTCCGAGCTGGTCTTATCGCTAGACTTTCATACAAAATTAGATGTTCTTTTGTGTCTGAAATCTCATTAGACCCGTTGTTAAAAATAACTGTTCCAAGTTGACCGAATCCAGCGAGCTTGGATTCTCTGTCGTTAATGCTACTCGCGATCCCTTACCGACCCGTTTCGCTTAGGTGCTATTAAAGATAGAGTGACGCGGCGCGTGGGCTTCCAACTTTCGTGGTAGACCTGCAGGAAGACGCTTGTGAACGTCAGGTATCCGTCACGCGAACGAATGAACCATGCTGCTAAAATTTCTCGCGCTTAATGCTCGAAATAATTTTAGGATTTGCATTTAGCTCTGTTACGCGAGCAAACGAGACGAGGTTACTTTAATACGTTGCCTAAAGCCGAGTATCCGCTCGTATCGTGTCAGCGTACGCGTAGACCGACTAGTATCGAGCGTTCGCGAAAGCTAGACGAATGTTTACCTGGACTCGACCTACTTAAATGCAGCATCGCGAGTCCAGGAGCGAGATGCGTCGGTACGTTTAAAGTTTACCGCGTCCGTAGCGCGTTAAATCGAGGGAACGACGACGACGACGTGACGCGGCACTGATAATGGAAGTCGGAAAGCGACGAAATTAACTGGAAGACGGTTCCCTCGGTCGTATCTGTTCGTTCATCAGATTTTGTCCGAGCAAGTGGATCCGAGTGGGCGAATGGCTCGAGTATATGGAACAGCCGATCTAAACTTAGTCGTTGGTTCGTTCTGGAAATAGATGTTATGAGTGCGAGGACAGGACGAGATACATACTGAGATACCGGCCCCTATTACGCGTACGAGACCACGTAGATCCCTTCCTCGTTGGCCCGACGATCATTAATTCCTTACCGAGGAACGATTTGAGCCGATCCGCCGCTGTACGCTAGATCGATTAGTCGAGTCGCGAACAGCGGTGGCAAACGCTTCGCGCATGGCGCCTAACTCACGGGTTTACTATTTCGAAATTCTAACAGGCTGGCGATACCGGTCGTGTGCTCGTTGCGTGTATCGCGAAGGATTTATTTAGCGAGCTGACGTCTATTTCGGGAGGAAATTGCATCTTCGAATAACGCGAGGAGCCGCGGTACAGTCAACGATGATTCGTCTCGCGTTAAAATAAAATCGACACCTCGAACAACGGTTTCGAAGCGGCCACCACCGTCGAACGAGAGATTGATCGGTGTTTCGCGAACGAAAGAATCTCCGACGTCGCGGTTTGCGCGCGACCGTGCCGGACGCGCGATTCTGAAAGACGAGAAGAGCCAATCGAGTTTATTTTATTCCCGATCATTTTTACGTGTCTGCGCGAATGATAAACTCGCAGATTGAGACTTTGAGACTTTGCATTTCTCGCCCCTCTATTCTTAGACCAACCACTGAACTCCTACGCGATTACTCAAGACGTGCGTATGTATCGCATATCGGACCTGCACCCATTATTTATCCGCGAAATTCTCGACGACGCCTTCGGATCAAAGCTTCAATCGATTATCAGTTGCAAACTTTTATTCGTTTGCGCATCGGTATGCAATTTGGATACTGGCAAAGCGAACGTATCAGACGTCGATCAGACGTCTCGTTCCAATATTTCATTTAGCGGAGCACGTTACGAACGATGCATAAGATTCGTAGAGTACGAGGCACGAGCACGAAGGTTGCCGATAGCGAATGCAAAGTATCTTCTCACGAAACGGCACGATTCCAAAAATCAGGCAATCCCCGATACACGTTTAATCTCGAAATAACGAGTCATCCCTTCTCTCGCGATAAGCGGTGCAAAACCGCGGCACGCTTCTACCTCTTCTACGCTCTGTAACGACACTGTATGCAGTAGTGTAAGTACGTCCCACGTACACACGTCTTTGTCTTCGTCGCCCGGCTGGGATTTTATATCGTTCCCTCTCGCTTTCACCCATGACTGCACGACCGCCGGTATTTTTGGTGAACACTGAGCGACGAGGAGAGGCCGAAGGTGAAGATCGCTGATGGAAAGATCATCGGAAAATTGTAAGGAAGCAGGGTGTAGGATGCCGTGCGGTGCGTGCAACGCGAGAAGCAGGGAAAACGGGGCTGGGAGGCGGGAGGATGGAAAAACGAGAAAGAAGGAGAGCGAACATCGGCGTCGTGAAAACGGTTAGCGCCGTCGACGTAACCTGAGAGCTTTTCGGACCCCGCGACCATATATGTCCGCCTCTCGTTCTCTCTCTTACGCGCACGATCCTATCATCTCGCGCTCTCAATTTGCAAGTATATAAATCTAGGACCGTTCTATTGCCTCTTTGAGGGTGCATTCGATAATTAAAATATGACTTATTCGTGTAGGGAACTTAAAAATGATGAGATCTGGCTTCTTTTTGAAATCGGTGGTTACAACGGGCCGGGAGACGGAGATCTCGCGCATCGGGTAGACTTACGCGATATGGAATGGAGAGTAAGACGTGAGATCGCGGCATCGGGATCGCCCACTATGCGGCGGCACTTGCCGACCGAAGTTATCTTTCAATTTTCGTTGACTTTTTCTGTTTCAGTAACGAGAGAACTAGGAAACGGTGACGAAACGGGTATTGAGAAGATGTTTTAATAAAAGAAGGAACGAAGAAGAAACAATATTGTAAATATCGAACGATGTCAGTGGTCGATCAGCTATTTACGGGTGGGGACAATAAGGATGCGATAAAAACATAAAAACGTGTATTTTCTTTTTATTCCTTTATTCATCCAGAAAATTTATATATGTACACTCGACGCAGTCGACACGGTCGTCAATTTCGCAATAAGGCGATTGCGAGTCGTATTCTCGAACGCGTACTTATAAAATTATCGCGACAACAATTACTCTTCTTCGCACCGACCTTGATGCATGGAAATCTAGTATTTACATGTACGAATATGCTTGTGCATCGAACCTCGCAAGAGCGTCGCGACGCGGCGGGAAAAAACAAGTGTTGCGCGCGTTCGGTGCAGAGCATAAATCGATCTCTCTTGACCAATCGCAAAACTCGGGTTCGTCCGACACGTGGTAGACCGAGGAACGCGCGATTACAAAATTCGACGCGTGCACCGCTGCTCGAACGAACAAAATTTCACCGACAATGAAAAAATAAATTACGTAACCGTTTCCGTGACGACCGAGCAACGTTCGTTCATGGAAACGTATCCGTACGTGTATAAAATTGATTTCGAAGTCGGAACAACGACTTCGACGAAACGATTCTTGTCGAAGTCGCGGAGTAGAAGCGGCCTATCTCGTTTCAACAGGCGATCCGATCGGTAAACGTGTTCCGAGCGTAAAACTGCGTCGTACGAAAATCGTGATAAACTCATTGTTCGTCGTTCCTAAACCTACTAAACATCATTTAGATAAAATTAAATCGTGAACGAGCAAACGATCGACGACAGAGTTTTACTGATCGTGAGCCAACGACGCGAACTTAGGAGAAGCACGTTGCGTTTCCGCGTGTTACCGAACGCGCTGTTTAATTGATCAAAGGCTAAAGAAATAGAAACGGAATGTATGTATAATATGTATGCAGGTAATATCGTGCGAAAAAAACAACGGACAATTTCCAAGTATTCGCATAAAGTATGGAACGCGACGACGCAAAAGGATCACGACGACGATAATTGAAGGATTGCACAACAGGTTGCCGTAATATTTAGCAATGTCGACTCAGAGTCGGATAGCAACGAAACTCGGGCTTCCTGCGAGTCCTGAGACTCTCTCGCGCGTGAAAACTCCCACACCATTCAATTGTGTCGCATCGTTTTTATCGGGTCCATCGAGGTTTCCCTTTCTACGTCGAAAATGACGTACACGCATCTTTACGTATCGTCCGAACGATCGGCAACGATGATCGTAAACTCGATGAGACATGGTAAAAGTCGGTAGGCACGACGTCCTACACTTTCTCCGCGTGGCATCGCGTCGCGTCCCGTCGTCGTGATCGTCCTTGGGAGCCCGCGGTAAAACCGTCTAGCGGGATGACCGACCGTACAGCTCACAGTGGAACTAGAGACTCGCCGCGTTCAATCGATTTGGAATGCGTATCAATTCGACGTTGCCTTCACGTTTTCGAACGATTCGGCAACGAACGGGGAACGTTCTCGCGTTCGAGTCCTCGAACGTGTACGCGTACAAGTACGTGCCTACAGATGACGTTTCACGTGTACGAGGAGTACCGCGCGGCGAACCGGTGTTCGATGCTGTTACAATTTCTGCACGATGTCGAACTTGTCCTTGAAACCGATCGATTCCTTCTTCGGGTCGTACTTCTTGCGGGCGGCCAGCTGGGCTCTGAGTTCTTTGGCGCTCATCTTCAGGTTCAGGCCCTGCCGGGGCTCGACGTTACCGTTTCCAGTTTGCACGTGCCCCGTGGAGTCGTTCCTCGTCCCGGTCCCGTTCCCATTCCCGTTCTCCACGCGTTCGCTCTTGTTCTCGTTCTCCGTTCTCGCGTTCATCGATACCGTGCTGCTCTCGCTCTGCGACGTGTCGTTCGAAGCAGTCGACTTCTGCGCGTTCTGAAAACAAAAGTTACGTATTAACAATGTACAGATGTATATACGTGCCGAGCAGAGGGACGGACGAGTAGCTCGTCGTGTATCAAGGTCGATCTTTTTTCCAAATATGTATCTCTGGGAATTTCCCTTGCGCGGCGCCGCGAAGTGTTTCGCGCTAGAATGCGCGGCCAGTACGCATGTACAGACCGTAGAAAGTAAAAGCGTGGATGCGGTAATTACGCGCAGCGTTGATACACACGGCCAGACGCGTTATCTCTCGTCGAAGGCAAAGAACCGATCAGAATTATGCGGGTCACAAACGAATTCCTAACGACCTTGGCTTCCGGTTTTTCCTACGAGATATTCTTGAAGAAATTCTATCTGCTAGAACCGGTTCGAAAACTACGGATCGTTCGGATCGCTAGAGAACGAGCCGAGACAAAGGTGAACAGTGAGCAAAGGAAGTCGCGCGCGTATTCGATGCGTTTTAAAGATAAAAGTCAACAGTCTGCACGTAACGCCGCTGGCATCGTTGCCGTTGGCAAAAAATCTGAAACTCCGTCGAATGCAGGAGAAAAAATGGTGCCGATGACGAAACTGACGAAAACGGTCGATACACGCGCTATCGGTGATGACTAACACCGACAGAACCGACGTGGCATGTAAAGATGGTGTTTATGCATTGAGATGATGTAACGTCTCCATAAAACGTCGGGAATCTATGTCGCGGCATTGCTATCCCGCAATTCAATTAATTTCAACGACAGCGTGGTTATTTTGTATGCAATCGCTCGTTCCTCGCTTCGAGACGTAGATCGAACAGCTGAAACATTATTTCTGATCGCAGAAACTCTCGAACAGAGGAAAACATCGCGTCGCGCCGCGTTAGCTGCATTTTTCTTGGCACGGTCTCTTCGAAAATCGGCACGCGACACACGGGGAAATCAAATAAGATCGGGTAACGGGCTTTCCAACCGATCCACCGTTACGTTCGATTGAAAACACATACCGGCGTGTAACGAGTTTTTAGAGGCAGGTATGGAGACCAGAGATTTTGAAACGATACCGATTGACGACGACGTCATCCTTCTTCTAGTAAACGCGATCGGTTTTCCCTCTCGTTCGCGTACCGCGCATGCCGCGCACGCTTCGACATAGCTCGGTTGCGCAATGGAAAACGGTGGCAGGAAGTAGACCAACCCATACAGAGGCAATTAATTATCTGTACGAACGATCGGTAGGTACACGATCTTTTCTAAGCGGACCGCGAATCGTTCGGATCGATTCACAGAGTTGGGCACGTAACCGCGATCGCGGATACCCGTGCGTCTTCGATTACGTGGCTCGGGATAACGCGAGATTTACGTAATTTTACGCCGCAGAAATGACCGGACATCCGGTGAACGAATCTTTCGATCGCGAGGACGGATCGCGTTCAATCACGAGCCACCCATGTATCCACGTACAGGCGTACGATACAAGATTGTAGGCAGGCGTGAGAACGTAGATCCCGCGAATGAATTAAGGCCAGTGTCGCGCGTCTTTCAGCTTCCGTCGATTAATTTTAATCGTCTGCAAGACACATCAGGTGTGTACCAGTGTCTGGTACCATTTCGATCAGCTTCGGTCTCTTCAGATAAATCCAAAGAACCTTCGACAACCACTGGACCGTGGATTTAAACGTTTCCACGAACGTTTAATTGATTTACGCTGTTTACTCGAGACATTGATCACGCGATTGGTTTTCATACGTGTCCTATCGCGTATGAACGAAAACGGATGAGTCATTCGCGTTGTGCTCGCGCGAGTTCACCTTCGATCGAACGATTCGTCGCGAAACCCAACAGCAGGAAAATTGGCTTTACCAATAATTCTCGTTTCTCGGAAATATCAGGAAAGAGATTGTGCATTCGCGATACCGATAGACCTTGAGAAATATTCTCAAGTATTCTGATTTTTTTTACTGCATTACTACGACGATACGTAGAACGTACGAAGTAGACGTAGAATATGCAAAAGCGTACGGACCTATCTAGATATCGAACGAGGTACACGTTTACCGCCGAATAAAACGTGAGAGCGTAGTAGAACGACGAGACGACGGACAACAGGTCGTAAGAACGTCGAAGAGACACGAACGAGCGAAAGTCGTCGAACGCAGGAGGTAGGCAGAGAGCGGAAAGAACAGGAGGAGGCTGCGATAATGGTATCAAATCGTACTCGCGTTATCGTTGTCGACGTTTCGTTGGAACCGAATAAACGCGATGCATCATCGTTTCTTCGTTTTTAAACGTCGAACGTTTTAGCTCGTTGGAAACGAGAAAGTGCGGTGCACGAGTTCGAAAACACTTGCAGCATGCGTGCGACGCAGCAATTACGTTATCGCAACATCTGTTCGGCTAAAGCGAGATCTCTCTTTCTCTCTTTCACTCTAGCCGACTGGTTGGCATCGATAGACTTTTCACGATGAGTCGGACGAATCATCGAGCAAGAAACCGTCGACTCTCTACGTATAAACGAGTATTCCCAGGTTTCGAGAATTTATTCGTTCGCGGTCTTTTGTCGGGGACCAGAAAAAATGAACAGATCTTGACTTTCCTTTTCTAAGCTGAACGTTGTTGTCGTTGCGGTGGTAGCGCGGCGCGGTTGAATATTCCATCTATGGAATGCGAGAACATTTTTCTCGTTACCCGGCCCGCTAAGTACTTACATACATACGTACGCACGTAGCAGTCAACCGAGAACAAACGTAGTAGACGTTCGAAAACACAAGCTGGCGAAACAGCTTATCTCGTCGATACTCGAGAAAAGGTCGAGAAGAACCGCTTGCGCGGTGATAAGACGAATTGTGTCACAATTACTTTGTGTACAAAATTACAACCAATCTCGCTGCAGGTAAGACGTTTATCTGGAAAAACGATCACAGATAACCGCTACTTTGAGAATACAATTTATTAGGCTTGTGTGACTCACGCCTAATTGTAAGAATATCATTGACGAGTACACAATACACGTATATATACGTACGTGGAATCTTGGTCTTGAGTAAATTGCGTAATTGCAAGTCGTATAGACAGATATGCGTTCACGCTACTCTGTATGCGATAGATGATAGCTCGGAATCGAGGAATTTGTACAATTCCTCGGAGGAAAAATGACTAAACGATAAGACACGTTGAAAGATTGAGAGACAACCATCGAGCGATGAGAGGATTGAAAGATCGCGATCTTCGAAGATTTTCGACCGATGGACTCGCGCGAACAACAGGTGGTTCGGCCCGAGCCGACGTCGTCGTGTCTCGTGATCGTGACAGAAAAATAAGATCGAAGTTTCACAACGGTCGAGTCCTAGGATCCTTGCGTACCTCGTCAATGGAGGCACTGCTGCCGTTCAGCTCATCTTGCTCGACACTGTTGGGATTCTTCTCCGGAGTCTTGATCACCTTGACGTTCGCCATGGTGCCCTTGATAACGATGTTGTTGGCCCTGAAATATTCGTCGGCCTCTTGGTCGACCACTAAGAGTTTCGTCTCGCTGGGGAAGGCCTTTATACGTTCGACGACCTGCTTGTGGGTCTCGTTGGCGATGTTGATCTCGTTCACTTCGACGATCCGGTCACCCTGCCGTAATCCAGCGGCCTGACTAGGCGAGCCGTCGTCCACTTTGCCGATGAACTGCCCGTTCTTCCCTTTTTCCGCGTGCAAATTGAACCCGTAACCGTCGAAGTCTTCCCACTTGACGACGTGACAGAGCCGAGCACATGGGACTTTATCACCCTTGAACGAAGACATGTCTCGCCCTTCGTAGCGCACCAGCAACGTGCGTCCGCGGTCCGAGAAAATGAATACGAGTGAACGCGGTGCGGTGGTTCACGAATGGCTACGGCTACGAGAACGTTTACCCGCTGTCTCCTGGGTAGTTCGTACCACACCGTGTCGATCGGCAGCGAAATTTTCTATCGAGGATCGAGGCGCGGCCTTGCGTACCCGCGGCGTACCCGTGCCCCGCGCGATGACCAGACGATCGAGTTTCTTTTCGAAGCTGCTCTCGCCGATTTTCACCTGCCACGAGGCGATTATTCGAACCGACTGGCGATCCTACGCTGACGGTCTCGCGATACGTACGCACCGTCGCTTCGTCGATCCAATCCGAGTGAATCGGTGAGTGGTGAACACTCGCTCGCTCGTTCACCGTGTGGGGGATTCGAAATTTAAAGGTCGATTCACGCGGTTTCGTTCTCCAATCGCGACCATATATACATACGTATATACGTACAAACGAGTCTGGCGAAAGAACCGCGATCGAAGCCGCGATATGTAATATGGTTACCTGGTTGGGAAGCTCGGCTCGGCCGGAATACCTGTATGTACGCTCTCACGGAGACCTTACCACCCACATTGCCACGCTGCGCAGCTGTGTCGCTTTTCCGTCGCTCGTCGCTCGCTGGTAGAAACGGATATACATGTAGAAACGTAGGATGGTGGAGGTGCGAGCGAGGAAGAATACCGCTAGAAGCGAGACAGAAATAACGAAAAGGGAGGGGAACAAGGAGAACGAAGGTGAACGCGATCGCACCGATCCGTACGTGCGCGGTGAGCCACTTCAGGTGTTCAAACGTCTGATCATCACTGCAGCTCCACCTTCCGGACAGGTAAATAAGTTCGTACCTGCCTGAAATTACGACCAACAAGTTCTCTACGAAATTTTTTAACATATCAATTCTGGCGTAGAAACCTGTGCGCGAACATAACGTTTATAATCGAACTGGTCTTCGCGGCGATACCGCGTCTCTCGATAGATCCTGATAGATCATTGAACACTCGACATCTCGTGTGACCCTGAATTCGCTTGGACATCGATGGTATCGAAAGATATTTCGGAAAACGACGCGTTATTTAACAAGTCGAATGTAAATAACGCGCGACGATGCGGGGCTCCAAGCGCACGACGTTCGCGTACGATCCTGATGCGCACAACGGAAAGCGCAATAGCGGGCGTGATGCGTGATCCAGAGTGATCGCGATCGCGATGGTGTGATGCACAAGGTGGGACGTAGCGTAGCGGTTGTTCGAAGTTCGTTCAAACACCAGTCGAACCGAGTCGAGTCAAGTATGCGTAGTCGTCGACGTTGACGTCTACTTATATCGCATAGCGACCGAGAGTACTAGTTCGTCGGCTGAGTACAATCCCGAGGATCGAGACGTGGAACGTAACGTCGCGTATAATGCCAGTAACCGGCGGCGTCGAGACAGTTGCTATCGTGTAAGTCGTCCCGTTACGTGCACCACGTACTCGCGTAGAAAGAACCAGCGACAGATGAATATTCGCAGCTCGTAAAACGAGCGGAGAACCGAGAAAAATGTGGAGTCCGACGCATGTTCAAGTGACGGGTAAGCCTGAAAGAATTTTCACCCGCGACGATCTATGTAGCGAGCGCGTCCGAAACAGATGTACCGTAAACCGTAATTACTTAGTTCTCGTATGCGCTCGGTTTAACATAGGTTACGTATATTTCGTAGAACGTACGCGATCGAAACCTCGCAATCTCGTTACGCGTTGTCAGGTACGTATTTGTCTAACGAGAGAGAGACAGGACGATCGTTCGCACTGTTTTCGCACAAGCGTACAGTTCGTATCGCGACCGATTCACGATCAGCTCGTCGGGCGACCTCGTTCGTCAAAGTATTTTTAATGCGATTAAAACGAAGATCGATTTGCCACGTACGTGAAATTTGGGAAAAACGAGCGTCGAAGAAAATTGATGCGCAGCCTCGCGTGACGCGATTGACGTTTCAAGGAGAGGCGGTGAAAACTACTCGAATACCATGAAACCACGAGATAGTGATCTTTTCGTTGGTCTCGCGAGGACTGCGTTCTATTCAAAATACGTGCATTTAAACGCGTACGAAATAAAGAGGTGTTTCCCGCCAAAACGCGAAATGCTTCCACGATTTTCAAGGAACACCAGCTGACATGAGTAACGAGTACACCGTGTATGGTCTCGTTGAAACGTCGTACTTTCTATTAGATGACTGCAGCAATTACTCGTACACTAGTAACGTCCTGTTTCATGTACTCGGTGAATCGACTTTAGAGAATTACCAAGAGATAAGATAATAACGTACTGTACCAAGAAATCTCGAAATTTACGGATATTATACTTATTTGGGAAATACACTTTTTCTAACTCCTCGTTTAATCGGAAAGTACGTAGGTAAAGCGTGAAAGCATCTGTCCCCGATTTCGTTCGTACCCGTAGAGTTCTCTTCCCAGGATCGTAATTAGGTACGCGTATATTTAGCGGTTCGCGCATATTGTTATCCGCGGACGAACAAAAATATGTGCGGCAGAGAATACGTTACGGTCTATTGAGCGTGAAAACCGTTACCGCAAAGGGATAGGTACAACACGGGAGTCGAAAATAGGAATGGAACGATGTACCTATAGAAGCGAAGTTTCGCGGTGAGAATGCAGGAGAATAGTAGGTGAGAACGCTCACGCTCGCTCGAACTACTTAAATGGCTCGCGGAGATGTGCAATATTATTTTGCGCGTCAATTTTTATACATGATTCTTCGTCATTCGCATTGTATTCGATTAGCTACGGAAATTATCTGGAGTCACGCCCCTTCAGTCGCGACGCGTACTACTTTGTTCGATATCCGAGAACACTTATCACGATGAGTGATAAATTCAGTGACCGATCATATTTTTCTTTCTCTTTTCACAGTTCAGAGGGCGAGGAATTTGTTGACGAAAGGGAAACACAGTAAGTATGCCGATCTTTGCTACCTCCATACGATCGCGAAGACAACCGTGGTCGTTCTAAATTTTCTTTTTGCGTCATACTTGACGATAAGTATGGCTGGGACCTCTAGGTCGTGACATGATTTTTCGTGTGCCGGTATACTTTTATTCCTCCAATTTCAAAACAATGACTCGCGAATTTTCATCGCTGTCAGGGGAATCGAATTTCGCGAAGCGCGCACTTCAGCAACGCGCGAACGTTCGACCAAATTCTTGCAGTGTAAAAATGTAAAAAAGAGAGCAGTAGCTCGTCGATCTTTTAACCTCGGTTGACCTCCTTCCTCTCCACCCACGCCCGACCGTCCGCCACGTTTATCATGTAATAATAACACAGAGACGAACGACTGCTTCGTGACAATCGCGCTCGGGAAGGAGAAGTATCAAACGTCCGTGAAGGAGAAAGCTTTAAGGGACGTGGAATGGCACGAGGAATGCGAATTGCTCATCCCGGAGCAGGGTAACACCGCGGCGATCGTCCTCACGGCTCTTCATCGAAACTTTCTGGGTGTCGATGAATTTCTCGGTACCGTCAGCATACCCCTGTCAAGCTTCGACGTCTACGAGAGACCCAGAAACAGATGGTAAACGCGCGTATTTTATTTTTGTTCGTCGATACGAGTCCGTCGGGTCTCGTGATCGACGAATAAAAATGAGAAACGTTATTAGGTACACGCTAGGGAGCAAGCCAGGCAAGGAGAAGACGAAGGAGAGAGGCGAGCTCGAGGTGAAGATAGGTTTCATCGTGAAAGCCGGCAGCCTGACCGATTTGAGCCACAAGGAACGGCACAAGAGCTCTCTGGGTCAGTTGTCCACGGCGGCTCACGCTATCGGCGGCAGTTTGCTTAGTATAAGCAGCTTTGAGAAGCGAAAGGGTCTGAGGAAATTGGCAAAGTCGATCGGGAATCGCGTGAAGGGAAAGAGTAAGAACAATCTGGACGCGAGAGATGATTTGGACGAAAAAGAGGAACATAAATTTCGAAGCAGGCAAGAACCTGGCGAAGCCGACCCGGGGGTCATCAGCGAAGACGAAGATGAATTTACGGTGAGTGGACGTCGACGCATTTCTGTGAGCCGTGGTAATTATCCTTGACGTTCGATGCGTGTTTCAGTTCGATGATTTATCCCATAAGAGTTCAGCGTCGTCACTGAACGCTCCCGCGGTTGGCGTTGGCAACGGCGACAGTGTAGTTTCGGTAGCCTCGAGTACATCCTCTGGTAATAATTTCGAGGCGCATCATCATCCGCCAGCGCCGGCGAATACAGCGCCCAACAAGCCACCGCGATTCTCTATGAGCTTCTCTACCACTGCCTTGTCCAAAGTAGACAGCATTAAGGACGACGAATGGGGCTTGAAATTGTATGGCAAACAAGTCAACAACAACGTCAAGCGATGGGAGAATAAACCGAGTCCAAAAATTGTAATAGACGAGCCGAAAGACGAACGTCGCGAACTATCGCCGGTGAGCTCTCCTTCCGCGACTTTGAACCGTCGGGAAGCTTCAGAATCGCCGACACCCGCGCCGCGCGAAGTTCTGCAAGTGCGGAACAGAAACGAGGAGAAACCTACGCCGAATAAAAATATAAAAGACGAGAAAGTCAAGGAGAAGAAGGAAGACAAGAACGTCATTGCCTGGAGCCCCAAAGATGAGAAGCAACGAAAGGACAAGCGGAAGGACAAGGAGAACAAATTGAAGGAATTTAACGACGAGAACAATTCGTCTTCGGAAAGGATCATCATCGGAGGTGAGGATGCTGTCAAAACAACGCTGGTGAAGAGTCGCCTACCGCATGAAGTTCTCACCCAGTTCGAAGGAAAATCGAGAGAGGTAATCGACGTCGTTGTTACGTGTACATGTTTTTAAATGGGTAACACTTAAATTTCTGTTGACACAGGATCTGATAGAGCTGACGTTGCAATTGCAAGCTGACGTAGCGGATAAGAATAAACGTCTACACGATTTGGAGGATTATATAGACGCGTTGTTACTGCGAGTGATCGAATGTTCGCCGCGTTTGCTGCAGAACCCGTACACAGCGCAGAGACGCTTGTCGTCGCCTGGGCATCAGTAAATACATCGTGATCAATCGGTCTCTCGATATTCCCTGACGCGGGCGTTCAGATTTGAATGCACCGTTCGGTTTGGAGTAATCAGCGATTGTCCCACTCGTACGTTTGTCTTACTTTTAATGCGCGTGCTTTAAATTATTTACGATTAATGATTAGAGATACTGGATACCGATTTCCATTGACGTCGCTACTTCGAGCGTATAAATTTCTTCTGTTGGAGTTTGTTTTTAATTCTTAGTTTTCGCTTCCTCTTTTTTGTTGTCGTTTCAATAAGGAGTTTTACCGAAGTTTATACAGGCGTATGCGTATTGCACTTTAAACAACAGTGGTATATTTGTGCCAACTCGGAAAATGCGGAATGGAGGAAACTCTATTGGTCTTCCTTGAGATGAATGATTTAAAAGAAACGATGTTTTCCGTCCAAAGTATGATCCCAACGTAGTAAAACATTTATATTTTTAAATATTTATATGACAGCTTGTCTGACCGACCTAACTATATGTATTATATTTTCGCAAATATATTTCATACGAAAAGTGAGATCTTCAATGAATCCTGTCCAACGAAGGTAAAGTTATCTTTCTGAAGGTTCCCGACCATCGGCACAATTCTATCTTCAGATGAACATGTCGGCTGAGCTGTCAAATGGTTCAGAGAGAACCTGTTTCGATGATTAATCGGGAAATCACCAAGTTTAGACGTTCATAAACCATTTCGTGGACAAGAGTGACGTCGAATTTATATGGCAGCCCATACGTAGAAGTTCCATTGAAAGTGAGAGAAATATTAGAGTAGAGTCGGATATAGTGTCGTAATCGTCATTTAAACTACGATGTTTCCGTCAGCGTTACCACGTACGGTGCCAAATGGTCGGGGGAGGGGGGAGAGGGAGGGGCGGAATCCAGAACGATTCGTTAATAATAACAACTTGGTTTTGCCTCGGCGCGTTTGGAGATCTTACGATCATGATCACCGGTCAACGATTACTTGTAAATACAATAAAATAGTCGTCCAGTTCAAAATACGATTCCGCTTTTATGAAACGTTTGATCAATTTATATGCAGCTGCGTCAACTTTCTTTTCTCTACGAATAAAATTAGAGTATCGCGTTTACATTCGAATGCTCGTCTCATTACGAGAAATGAGAACATCGTCGAAACGTAGTCCCGTATGGTGACAAAATACGGAACAAGTAGAATAACGTGTAACGAGTGAATTGTAACGATCGGCCGGATCAAGGGAACGAATGGTCGGAGAACAGGCGGGGAATCGAGGGATCGGCCTCGAGGAGCCACGAAGCAGTCTCGGATCCGTTTTCAGTTTCCGATTATTTTTGGCAGCAAGCGCAGCTCTCGCCTAAAAATGCTTAGGAGCAACGGCGAGCCACGATTGGTGGCCTGCCACCACGTGAACGTGCCACGATGGAGGTTCACGACGTCGACCAGAGATTCGGAATCGCACAGTCAACTGCCTAAGGTCCGGTTGGCCGGTCGCAGCCAGCTGAAGTTCTTCTCAAGGTAAGCCAAATCTCGCGCGGCATCTTCGAGCTTCGCGCGTCGCGTCTTTCAACCCCCGCGCCCCTCGTTTCTTCGGGATCCGCGGCGAAAACGACGAAGATCGTCGATTTCTTCGAACCCCATATCGGCCGTCGCGGGTGAAGATCTCTCAACGGGATTCTTTCCAAGGTCACAATTGTTGCTGCGCTCTTATTTCTTGGAAACCGTGAATCGTGCGACGGTCTCTGTTTTTCTCTGTGTGACGCGTGACAGAAATCCGGTGACAGAAATTCAAGTTGTTCCACGAACAAGAAGAACGTACCGGTGTCTCTCATTCACGATCCGTGTCTTCGACACGATTGCTCGAATTTTCCCAAGGTAGGCATCGTCGCGCTTCAACTCGCGATAAGAACTGCGTGCACAACCTTGTACTAGTATTTGCTGCGCTCGCCGATACTTCGATTACGCGTGGATCTCGATCGACGCGTCCAATGATCGAGCCTCTTCGGAAAATCGTCGTCGTCGACTTTCTTACTCGTTCGGAAAAGAGAAGAAACGTGCATGCTCTAATGAAAGCGCACGATGCGCTGGAATTTGCGATACATCGCGAAACTGGAATCTAAAACTGATAGTTGCGCGACATCACGGATTACACGCCTGTTTCCCAGTTTTACGATGCCTCTTGACATCGGAGACGAAACACCCGTGCCTCGGAATGGTTCGGACGAGAGGGTTTCTATACTTAGCGAACGCGTTACAAATATAAACCGTTTCTCAGCTTACGGAATCGATTTCTAAATTCAGGCTCGTTTCGAAGATGATTCGCTACTAAGACGAAATAACTGTCCATCGAATAATGAGTGTAGCTACTGCCCTTTTACATCGGACCGCAGCTTATTATCTGATCAAGGAATTCGTGCATTTGACAAATCGTGTGTTCCTGTTTTCTACGGTTCCATGGATCGTTCGGATTTGAATCGTTCAAAGAACCATGAACCGTTTCTCAAATCGTGTTTCACGCGTTTTTTATTGAGATTTTGACGATACGTGATGTGCCGCGAGCAGAGCTTCCCGTTCTCGTTCGGCGGCGAGTCTCGAGGCGATCTGCCGGATCGTCGCAGCCAAATTTGGATCGTCGACGTAGCCCCGACGCCTCGCGTCGTGCCGCCTCGAAAAGTGGGGCTGATCCGCGTCTATTCTCGAACACCGGATATTCTATACTCTACGTACGTTCTACGCCCTGCGTCACGGTAGCTATCGCTTGCTGTTTGTCATCGCGTTCTCCGTGGATCCGAAAGAGCCAGGATCCAGCCACCGGCCAAATCGCAGAAATGGTCCTCGTTTACTGTATAAATTTCTTCGATTATGCAATCGAGAAATCGTCTCTCTCCCTCCGCCGATGTTTCCGTTCGCGTTTATATTTAGCTGCGTGCAACGTTCGCGACTGTATCCGTGTCGCAAAACTGAACGATGGCACCGTCATCGTTGGTCTACCGCAAACGACGCAAGCTTCGTTTTAATTTCAGGTAAACGGGAGTAGCAGCCAGATACCACGATGGCGGACGATGAGGTTGGGTAGGTAGAATTTTTCGAGCCCGTTGTTCGTCTTCTGCGCTCTCGTTGATCGAGAGAGTAGCACGCGTAAAGAGACTATCTAATCTAACATTTTCTCATTGTTCATTTCATGTCTGTCGTTGATTCTGCACGACGAACGGCGAACCGTGGACCGAACCTTCCACCTTGCAGTAAAGTTTGTTTCGCTAAAAGGTACGCATCGCTTTTGCATTTTCTGCTTACAACAATTTTTCATGAACAACGACAGAGGAGACACACAGATAGTACTCGACACGATGATCATTTCCTCTCCTTTTTTGTATTTTTACTTACACAATCGACAAGTATTTTCTTTCTAACGAACGGACATGGATATGCTCAGGACTCTACAGATCGACCGCGTCCCGGGTATCTTTTAACAGTAGAAAGTTGACGTATTTAGAATTTTTTCTCCTCTACTATTTCCTTCGTGGTGAGACGGCCACTTTCGTTTCTTTGTTGTTCTCCTTACGTTCCCTGTTGGTCCCGTCGTCCGGGTTCGAGTCGACACGGAAAGTGGATGACTCTGCCTCTGCGTACGTCAGAAATCTGACCACGAGCAGAAGTCATTTCTATCCAAAGTATACGTTTCGACACTTTCCCCGACGTCTGATCACGATTAAGACTTGTCAGACTAGAACTGCGAGCACGAGCCACGTATGTACAATGTATGTACGTACCTAGTGATCAGAAAGATGAGGTAAAACGTAGGTATGAAAATCGCTCAAGTGCGATCTACACGATCCTCCGTGTGCGCCGCATGTTACTCACGCTTGTCTTTCGTCGATCAATTTTAACGTTCGACTTTCGACGTTGAATTCATACGCGTAATATCACCTACGACACAATTGGTACACTTTACACAAACGCTTCTTGAGCCTTCGGCTGTTTTTAAGGGCAGAACGCGAAGGATTGAATGCCAACGCTTCGCGTTCCTCTGCTCTGATGCAAGAGTGAGATAAAAAATTTTTTCTGACCATTTTCTCTTTCTTTACAGAGGAAACGTCTCGAGGATGTACGTAAGAGAGGAAGGGGGTTACACATCGGTGAAACGAAATTCGTCTCTCTCGACAATTTTTTTTTTTTTTTTCTCTTCGCTAGTCTCGCTTTATTTTATTTATTTATTTTTTCTTTTAACGCCGAAAGTACTAGATCTCGTTTCTCACGAGTCTCTTCGTCGCTTCGAGTCTCGATTGTCGTGTAAGATATTTTAAGGGAGTTTCGCACGGAAAATGTAGGAAAAGAAGAGGAAGCAGGCGGAAACCGACAGAAAGAGGGCGGAGGTCCGCGCCCGCCTCGAAGAGGCTTCCAAAGCCAAGAAGGCTAAGAAGGGTTTCATGACCCCTGACAGGAAGAAGAAGCTCAGGGTAAGTTTATTCCCCCGTTTCCAAAAGAGACGCGTCGTCGTTTGTGCGTTTATAGAAAATTGATGAATGCGCAAGCGACGTTGCATCAAGTGTAAAGATGATTAACGACAGGATGACTTTTGATCTGGCCACATTAGTTGCTGCTGCGTAAGAAGGCCGCGGAGGAGTTGAAGAAGGAACAAGAGAGGAAGGCAGCCGAGAGGAGGCGCATCATCGAGGAGAGGTGCGGAAAGCCAAAGGACACCGACAACGCGAGCGAAGGTACTTTCAGACTTTTCCTACAATTTTTTAAAGGCACGGTATCGGTACTTCGCGTACATCGATATCGGCCTGTTCGCGATTCATCGATGCGTGATCATAGAAGATCAGCGATCAGGGTTTGTAACGAGGTTTAATTAGATTCGACTCGCTTTCGGAATTTTCTGGTCCACGATTCTTCGGTTCGTTTTTTCTCGAGCAGAGGATACGTCTCGAAGCTAGATTTGATATATTTCTGTCGATTTTTTTTCACCCTTCGACGACGCAGAAGCCTTGAAGCGCATCCTGCGCGACTACCACAATAGGATCACAGCGTTGGAGGATCAGAAATTCGACCTCGAGTATGTTGTTAAGAAGAAGGACTACGAGGTACTTACAGAGAAAGAGTATACGGTTGCGAGAACGATTACGACTAGAGTGGAAAATAACGAGGCATTTTCACGCGAAAACCGTAACGATGCTCAATGTCGTCGCACTTGTCCGGTTGCCTTTCTATTCGCCTTGTCCGAACACCGTTTGCTCTGGTTTTCTTCGCGATTCGCACTCGCCGATTAACCAAACTCGTGGCTCGTTGCAAACGAACATCGTGCGCGTCCTGTCTCAAGATGATCGTAGCCAGGGTCTCACGTTCGTGACCGTCGAAACCGATGCGCGTCAGCTACGAGAATTGGCTCGCAATTCGGGCAAGTGTCGCTTCGCATTTCGTCTCCGTGTTTCTCTTCTTTACTGTTCACGTAATATCTTTTATCTCATTCGTAACACAGCTACTCTTACTCTGCTGTCTCTACTTTCTATCGCACTTATCTATGTGTATCACTTTTGTGCGCGCGACCCACGCACTCGATCGTCCGCTCTTCGTTTAACGCTATATGGTCGTATCACACGTATGATATGGTAAGCTGAGGATTATTCACGTATTAACTTATTGCGTTCTCACGATCAACAAGCTGTTGCGTATGACGGAGCAATGTACTTACGGTTACTCACGCATATATACATGTTGCGCACCTGGTTTCGAGAATCGCGTGCATCTCGTACGTTTCGTTTACGTTTACACTGTCTGTACGTTGCTTTCTGTGTCGATGCACCTACCGCACAGTGCACAACCGCGCACACGAGTTCCGCGATCGACAGCATCGACGCTATTTTACTTCGTATTTAGCTGCGACACGACTCGACACGGCCACACTTGTTCCTGCTTTCGCGTCTCGTCCCGAACGGTCGACAAAAATTACACGAAAAACAAAACGTTCCCTTTTCACCGTTCGATCGAGCTTAAAACACGTCGCGCGTCACAACTTCGATTAAAAACGCTCGCGTGTGTCGAAGAGAAGTGTTTTTCAAGGTTGATTGGAATTTTGACAGCTAGCGTGAAGTCCGTTCTGACCCAGTATCATAAGAGGATCGTCGCACTCGAGGGGGAAAAGTACGACCTTGAATACGAAGTCGCCAAGAAGGATTTCGAGGTCGAAAAGTTTTCGATGCGCAAAGCAAACAAAACAGACGAGGCTGCAATTAACAATGATTCGGAGAGCCGAACTTTTTTTTCCTCTTATTTTCGATCGTGTCTTCTTTTTTTGTTTCCTGAATCAATTTTTTTTTACTAGTTGCTAGCGCAGCGCTGATCGTGATCATTTTTGTTTTATAAAACCGAGGTCTCGGCTGTCGGGCCTCGAGGCTGATTCATCTAATTCCGCCAATTTTTAACTGGTAGCACTCAATTTTAGATTAGACCGTCTTCCTAGAGTCCCATTAGAACAATATTAATTACGATTACTATGTGTAATTAGTAAGAGAACGAAAGCAGGCACGCGTGATTCGTAGAATCGCAGTAGATGTCGAGTAACGCTGACTGTCTACTTAAACACTTCCAGACCCTACATCCCTGTCTTGACCGATTTCGAGTAGAAGAACAACGAGATACTTGCTCCTTTCCCTGGACCTGGACTCTCTGGACTTATCACGCGTACGACGAGTTAACGTTCACGCGGTTCAGCTTCGTGCGTCTGCTTCTTGCTTCCAGAACTCGAGAATCTCCTCTAATTCTTTGTCCCTTCCGCGATCGACCCCTTGGTAGACGGTACGTATGTACGTACGCGGAGAAGGGAAGTTTACGGGTAAAAGAACCGGTACCGAACATACACCGTCTAGTCGTTTTGCTATATTCTTCCCCTCTTCCTCCTCCTGCTTCCTTTCTCCTTGTTTTAGCAGAATTTTTTGTTTGCGTTTTGTTCCGCAATCTTAGAAACTTTTGTTCTTTTAGCCGAGCTCCAGACGATCTGTTCGGCATATTGGAACAGACTATACGCGCTCGAGGGCGATAAGTACGACCTCGAGAGGCAAATTAGGTTGAAAGAGTTCGAGGTAAATAATTTTTATTCGGCCTCTCTCGCGTGACTATTATTTTTCATTTCATGCGGTGCCATTTTTCGACGTCGTCGCTCCTTTCGACGAGCCCGAAAAATTTCATCGAACGATTCGATTCGTGGATCGTGAAATTTTTTGGGATCGCAATTGAAAGCGTAACTTGGCGTATCGTTTCGATACGGATGGAGGTCGATAGGACAATATCCATTTGGAGAGATTTCAGAGCAGGTCACGTTCGCGTCGACGAATCGGGACGTTTCATACTATTAGGTTCGACCGGAACGAGAGAGAATTTTTAATGAGTCAAACGAAATGCTGCCGTACCGATTAAATAATGCTTTTTGCTCTCTCGTTTGCCTCCTGGCTACTTGTCAGCGAAAGGATATCTGAGAAACACTCCATGTTCTTTGTAGACGATTTGAAGGAGATTTGCCAAATGTATTACGAGCGCGTCTACCTTTGTGAGGGTCAGAAGTGGGATTTGGAGCGTGAAGTTCGGAAAAGGGACTACGAGGTACAGGAGATAAATAAAAGAAAGCAAACCAAAAAAAACAAACAAATGAATACGAAAAGGAGTAGAGAGCAACGGTGAACGATGCGAAGGAGATCGGTCGAGATCGAGACGCGTCGTTTCGACTTTCTCCGATCGCATCGATCTTCCGTTTGCTTCTTCTGTACATACGTGTACATATTCTCTAGCCGTTTCTCTCTTTCACGACGTTTCTCTCGGAGGACACGTTGAGTGGCTTTCGTAGAAATCGAACCGCGTTTTTCGACCGTACCGTCAATGATTTGGTAGAACATCTTTTTAGTCTGCGCTCACGCCGACGTTTCCTACTGTTTCGTTTCGTTCCGTACCATATGATCTTGGTCAGTCCTGCTTCGGTGATTCGAACGAACTCGCGTCTACCCAAAATGATTTTTCTTTTTTCGCGTGGATATGAAGTGCCGCAGCGATCAAATGGAATTTTTTGCTCCTCGTCCAACCGCTCGCTCCTATTTTCGCGTCCTCCGCGTCACTTTCGAAACGCTCCCGTTTCTATCCTCTTTTATTTTCCATCTTACAATCAGACGTGTCTCTCGTCGACTCGAAGGCGTTCGCTCTTTGATTCTCTTCTCTTTAATCTACATATCTACTATCTCTAACCGTGTAACGCAGACACAGGCTTTACGAGCTTTCTACTAACTCGGCAAGGATCTTGAAAGTAAAAGCTTGAGACTCGAATCAGGGCTGGGCAAGCTTATGGAGGAGACGTTCGTTGGTCAAATTATTCGATACGAGTGACTTTGATTCGTTCGACGATTCTTCGGAGACCGCGCGACGCGACTACCGCTTTTACGAATCGACAACGCGTTCTCGCCGAGAAAGAGAATCGTGAAACGAGAAGGCCGCGTTGTTTTCTCCCAATGATAGAACACATTGACCCTTCTCATATTTTATTTCGAATCTTTTTTTCTCCTCTCTTCTACCTCTCACTCTGTTGTACATAATGCACAGTCGATGGAAACAGGCGAGGGACCGAATGATCCCTGCGAATCTCACGCGCGACTGCGTGATACTCCGCACGTGTGTGTACGTGCGTGCGTGCGTGGATGCGTGCGTGTGCGGTGCAAAATCGGGAAAGGGACAAAAAAAGAGGAAGTCGTATCGAATCGGTATTTTCACATTTCACGTCTTCTTCGTGTTTTTCCCGCTCGCTTTCATCATTATCTATCTTTCTCATTTCTCTCTCTCTCTCTCTCTCTCTGTACCTGTATCTCTTTCTTTGTTGGTGCACTGCTATGTAATACCTCCGCCTTGATTTTTAGACATGTTATTTGACGGCTGCTTTTGCTTAACCTTGCATGCGTGGCTGCAACACCCTGAATCCTACTAATGATGTTCAGGAACTTTTTGTATGCATTACGATGTGTATAAAACTGTCGGAAACATACTGCGCGTATTGTCTTTAATAAATGGGATACGAAGCGGAATTAACCGAGACACGTCGACGCGTATTCGTCGGTATCGGTGAAATTTTGATAAAGCTGATCGATCATGCGAAGGCGCATAGTAGTACTTTCGTAGATATAGAAGCGCAGAAACTCTGTTCAGCTGGGCTGGTATCTTTATCTAAATTAACAGCATGGATTCGTTTCTCGCAGTGCTATCTCGGCTATTTTTCATGAACTTGTTTTTACTCGCGGCGTATCACTGGATCTACGTTTTTCTATCGCGAGAGGGAAGTATGGCACTTCATATTCCCCGCGAGGGAAGAAAAATCGTAATTATTGTAGAGACACTTGTGCTTGCGACAGAGTAGAATGGGTATTCGATCGACGACTGAGGTATCAAGAGGAGTAGGTACGTAGTACGAGACGTAGGTCGCATCATCTCTCTTTAGAACTTATTGTCACCGGCCTGCCCCTTTCAATTCTACCCGTACAACTTGTTCGTTCCACGTTTGTAAATACTGTACTGTATATCGTATTTCTCTCCCCGAAACTTGTATCGTAGATGATCAAAGGTCGGTTGAACGTTACCTTCCTTTCCACGCTTTTCTATCTCCGTTTCATCGTTAACTCTCACGAAGGTGGATGGTGCCGAACGAAGAAGATCACGAGACCGAAGTGCCATGCTGTGAAAATTCTCCGGGCCCTACCCACGCGTACAACCTCTGTCACTTTTTCTTTTCTCGTCTCCCTTTGTGGCATAAATTAGACTCCTACCTCGGCACGGCACGCCCCCTGTCCCTGTGAATGTAAATTCTAATTAAAAAAAAAAAAAGACGAACGATTTCGTGTTCTCCCCTAGTCGTCCCGTGGAAGAGACGTGAAAGTGAAACACGTACACGCGTCTACGATGTCGTCGTCGAACGCGATTTTGCACCGATTCGCACGCGCCACGGACTGTCAACCTATTGTCATGGTGTTCGATTCCGGCCTGTAAATAGCGGATCCTTGCTGCTGCTGTTGCTGCTGCTGGAAATCTGATTCTTCACGATTCATCCGACGAACCGTCATTGTCACTTGTAACTGCTACGACAGACGAATTTTCCTTTCTACGAAGAACAGAATTCCAGCAGGGCAGAAAAGGGATCGTAGTGGTCGTTTTCTTTCTTTTTTCTTTTCACCCTCTGTGGACAAAGAGCTGCTCGCGACTAGCTCTCCCTGATTGACCAGAATGAAATTCACGTCCCATCAACGCCGATCCCTTCGTTCCTTCTTTATTCGCAAGTGCAATTCGTCGGGTCTCTCTCTCTCTCTCTCTCTCTCCCTCCGTTTCTCTCCGACGTCTTTTTGGAGAGGGGCGGAAAGAAGAGAAAGCATCCTACAAGTGGCTTCCGGAGAAACTATTGAATAGCACTAGAAAATCAATTTGTTCGGAACCCTTAGGGAAGAGAAAAGTTACGCTATGAGAGCAGAATAGACGTTGCTCTTACGTCGATCCTACGCTCTATTCACTGTACCGCGTTTTCATTTTTTTTTTTTTTTTCTATAAAAGGGAGGAGATACTCGACTTGACCGCGATCAGGACTTGTCGAGTACACGATACTACGATTACAATTCCTTCCTACCCTTCCGTCGTATCCACGTTCCTGAAATTGCAGTTAATAAAGCCAATTTACATCTCGATTCTTCGAGTGGCTTCTTCTCCCCGCCTGCTTCTGGCACGCAGGTCGCACGACACCTTATGCTCCAGTATCTAACCATCGTCTGCTCGAAGTTAATCATGATCGACCGCTTCTCGATTTGAACGCTTCGTTTGGTTTTCATGCAGTGCTGCGTGCGTTTTATGTGTTACTTCCGTGTACTGTGATTAAACGTAATCGCTACCCATCCGAATACAAGGGGACGTGTGCCCCGGTGGCTCCGCGAAACGGTTGCTCTTTGGAATCCTGTTGGGAGAATCGGCCTCTGTGACGCGAGCCTCTCGCCGTACGAATTTCCAGAGAGCATACCGTTTCCCAACCACGCTTGACCAGCGTTTTCTGCGACGAGACGGAACGTGAAACTAATCGAATTTCTGATCACAGATATCGGACTTGAACAGCCAAGTGAACGACCTCCGAGGTAAATTGTGAGTAATCGGTCCTCCTTTCTTCGTTTCTAATTGAAACTTTCGTTCGGTCATAAGACAGTTTTGTAAATCTCGTTAGCATGAAACCGACGCTGAAGAAAGTCTCCAAGTACGAGAACAAATTCGCGAAGCTGCAGAAGAAGGCGGCTGAGTTCAACTTCCGTAATCAACTTAAACAAGTGAAGAAGAAGGAGTTCACCCTCGAGGAAGAAGACAAGGAGGTAAGGGCGATCGTTTTCGATGACGCGTATCGTTTCTATTTCTCATGTCGTTCTTCTCCTTCCCGTCCATGGATATTTTTCTTTTTCTCTCTCTTTCTCTGTCTCTGTCTCTCTATCTTGGCAAGACAGAACTATCGAGAGATTCAGTACTTTTTAATGCGCACATCGTCTGTGCCTCGTTTTTCAATTTTTCTCCATGCGACGGGTGGGTCTCTATCTATTCACATTTTTTTCAGCTATTGCGAAAGATCGTTTTTGTGGCTCTGGTTTTCTTTCCGTGTATAAAACCCGATTGGCCAGGTTTTTTCCTCGTATCAGTAGTTTACTCATTTCGACGTCCTTGCGGAGAGATCGATCCCTCGGATTTCGTATTCCGTTGTAAATCTTACGATCACGATACGAGCGAAAGCACGTCCGGACGCGGGAGACGTCGTCGGTCGATCTCTCTGAAAGGGCCGAATACTTTTTACCCTTTTTTCGTACGTACACGTAAAACCAATCCGAATTGGAACCCCAGTAGCGATAGTTGACTAGGCAATTGTGTTGTTCTCCACAGCCCAAGAAGTCCGAGAAGGCAGAGTGGCAGACGAAGAAGTAGATATAAAAAACACGAGATAAACGTTTAAAGAAAAAAAGTATAAAAAGAACACGAATAATAATCGTACACTACCTAAAGAGCTTCGACACGTAGATAAATGTCATACAGAATACCCGCATCAATCAGACACACAGGTGAAAATACCGGGTAAACGTTTTCGAGTTAACTCCCGCGCGTACACACGGTTTCAACGTTGACCGCTCTCGGTTCGTTCACTCAATTATTCGATTATTCGATCATTGTACCGATAGAATGAAATCGTGCCTCTCGTGGTTTCCGAAGTTCCGAGGTACGATGGAACGATCGATATCGCATATGCGCATGTACGCGTGACACGAACCATCGCTGTCAGATTATGAGCCGAGCTTTTTCAGATCGTCAATAAATGAAAAATGATTTATCTTACACGATCTACCCATATGTACCACCTAATAGAACGCGAACGATCTCGGTCGTAGGTCGGACCGAACGTGAAACACGCGCAACGACAGTAGCGTCCCGTTCGAGGATCGCTTCATCTTTTTCTCGCTAATTTTTTTCTCAGCTCTCTTCTCACTCTTTTTTATACGCGAGAGACACCGTGCTCTCTCGCGGCTAATTTGCTTTTTTCCTCTTTTGCGACTCGTTTCATTTTTAACGCTACCTCACGAGAACTTTTGATAAAAGTAACGAATCAAAAGAGAAAGGAACGTTATAGAAGAAGGTGAGAATGGCTTACAAGATACATAAGTTATTTTAGACTCACAGACTTTCGTACATAATCGCAAAAGCGCTTTACTCACAGTGCCTCACTCTTTTCTATCTATCTCTGTTGCACTTTTCTCATCACTCGCACCACGCGTACCGTCCCGCGTTTATCTTCTGTTTGAGTTTTACGCAAAGTCGAACCGAAACTTATAGGATACAACGCTACGCGCGATGTACGTCGATCATACGACGATCAAAATACGTTTACGAAAGGACGCTCTAGCAGATATCGTTCTTACATCGCAGCTTGCCTTTACTGCCGTTCGGCTGCCATGCTTCCAGACTCACCACCCGTGTAGGATCGTTTGTCCCGTCTCTGATTGTCATACTCGGTCCGTGCCTCAACGCCCTGGTCGCGTTCCGCGTTTGTACTCGATGAATGATCGAATTCGTTTTACGGCAGATCGACGCACGGATCGAACACGCCACTTTCCGTCGAACGCGATTCGTGCCGGGTCGAGGACTTCGATCCTCGGCACGAATCGCGGTTAATCGTTAAGTCTACGATTAGTTTGTACGCTCTAATAATTGTCCGTTGTCTTATCCGTTGACTAATGATGTTGCTCTTGCATTATGTTCGCAGAACGCGTCAAAAGATAAGGTAAAGCTTTAAACGATCAACTCGTAGATCGGCATGCTTCTGTAGGGGAGAGTGTGCATATTAGAACTTTTCGCGATACGTGTAGGTGTAGAGTTTATGCGAATAGTGAATGACCGCAGCGGAACGAATTGCATATAGGATTAGACCGAAAGCTTCGTTTCTTTAACGATATAAGTTTCTTTTTCTCTCGCACGGACTCTTCTCTCGCCTCGTCTTTACTAACAAACTGCACGGCTTTCCGGATGATCCGAACACGAAGAGAGAGGATCGTAGCTTCTATCGGGGACGGAATAAAAATTGTCAAACTCTATGCTCTACACGATTCAATATCCTACATGTATAAATACATGCATATAAGTCTTTGCCCCGATGAACTTTCCGCGCGCCCCTCTACGAAACGTTACCCCGCTTTTCCCATTCAGCTAACCACCGGACTGGCGTTTGCAACTCTCGATCGATCGATCTCGCGCGCTCTTCTCACGTGTATTTTCTGAACTTTGCAGAAGAAACCGGACTGGTCGAAGAAAGGCGAGGAAAAGAAGGTAAAGGAAGAAGAGGTGGAGGCATGAGGGAGAAGGGATCCATCCGACGTCCATCTACGAAATTCCTTCTTCTCATTTGATTTTTTTTCTCTCCCTAAGTGTATCCAGAGATCACGATGTATCGTCTATGTATTTAATACTGTCCTCGATATCGTGTCTCGTGTCCACGTTCTAATCCACGGTTCAGTATCTTCTGTCGCGTGTACATATTTTTATTTCTAAAAAAAGAGAACGACACCCCTTAACGTTTCCGTATATCAATGTTTTTTACACGTCGATCCCTCTGTTTACTCGATGTGATTCTCTGTGAACTGGATAATGGGAGCATCGTTTAAGTAAGGCTTATTGTAAAGCAAAAAGTTTAACAATGAAATACATAACATTCATGCGTTTATTGTCCCAATTTTCCCCATCCTCTCGTCGTTGAATTCACCTTCTATGTTCTGTGTATAAAAATCGGATAATAACAACGTGCGCGATGCTAGAACACTTCCAATGTATCGACGAGTCGATCGCGACTAGTTTCGACTAATGTTTTTCACATGTTCCACGTAACAAAATATTTGATTCCCAACGATTTGAACGCGTTTTTTTTTACGATTTTCACGTAGCTGCATCGCTCATCATTTTCGTTACGATTCGTCGAACGTACATACGCGAGCCGTATTCACGTTTATGGATGGAACGTAAGCGACCGCGACGCGTTCCGAAACTCGTTCCTATTGAAACTGCCCGGCGACGTCTATCGCTGCGACGCCGTTGTTTAATTGTCCCGAACCCGACGACGATCGGTATCGGTAATTGATTTACGGGATGTAAACTGAACTCGGACGTTCAGTCGTCGTCGTTCAGAACAAATGGCATATCGATAAACGAAATTTTAATGATAACGCCATTCCAGCTTTGGGAAATGCGCGTAACGACGGTGAATCACGTTCAGCACGTCATCGACGCGTCGACCAATATTCAACCGCGAACGTAATTTTAGTCAGTGTTACGTATGATTAAACAAGATTGACCTCATCCAAAGTAAACGTCGTCACGTTCCTAAAATTAAATCGCATGTCTCTGTAAACCCTCCGATCGTCGAAACATCCGTAGTCACGATCTCGCGATCGTCCCGCATGCGAAACGTCTGTGGTCACGATCTCGCGACCATTCCGCATGCGAAAGCACGACTCGTCGATGTTCGTGGAAACTTGAAGGTACGTTGAAACGTAGGAAGAGCCACCTCCACCTGAACCAGCGCCGGAACCGACGCCAGAACCACCAGCGGCATCGCCAGCACCTCCGACGCCGTCGCCACAACCGGAGCCGACGCCTTCACCGACTCCTGCACCTCCCGCGGAAGCGGCCCCGACACCCTCGCCAGAGCCGCCGGCACCTCCTGCCGAAGGTGCTCCTGCACCCCCTGCAGAAGGTGCCCCGCCAGCCGAGGGTGCGCCTCCGGCTGGTCAGTATTTCCGATTCATCTATGTCTTAACTCACTCAGAACGAGATACTTCGAGTACGAAACGTCATGACGATGCTCTGTGCATCTTCGATGACAACGACTCAACCGAGCCGTCGCCGAATAGAACGGCTTCTGTCACGACTTCGATTAGATTAGAGCATGTATACTTGTTCAGAAGGTGCACCAGCGGCTGCGCCAGCGGAAGGCGCGGCGCCACCAGCGGAAGGTGAAGCACCAGCAGCTGCAGCTGCACCTGCAGAAGGAGCTGCGCCGCCAGCGGCAACGGAAGGAGCGCCTCCAGCCGAGGGAGCGCCTCCGGCCGAGGGAGCACCTCCTGCCGGGGGTGCACCTCCCGCGGAAGGTGCACCACCAGCGGAGGGTGCGCCGCCAGCCGAAGGTGCGCCACCCGCTGCACCACCTGCCGAAGGTGATTCTTCATCTATCATCTTCGTCGGACTGCAGATCAGTCGTAATTCACGTGTACATCTAGTGATTTCCTGAGATCTGCAGTTCCGTTAGATTTGACGTTCTATCATCCTCGTACGTTTCATGATTGTCTTTCGTTATGGAACCTCGCACGACTAACTGATACGATCGAAGAGAGATCGAACGGTAGTAAAACGGTGACGTTCGGAAGAGGTAGTAATCGTGATTTTTGTAGGTGCACCACCAGCGGAAGGAGCCCCGGCAGCACCACCGGCCGAGGGTGCTCCGCCAGCTCCCGCGGAAGGAACCCCGGCTGCACCGGCCGAGGCTGCCCCAGCAGCACCTCCGTGCTGCGAAGGTCCACCTCCAGCCCCGGCAGAGGCTGCCCCACCCGCACCCGCCGAAGGTAACGATGCTCTTTTCCACGTTACTCGTTCGCTCGCCTAAAGGAGTAATCACCCTTTTTTCTCATCTGAAATTGTTCATGAATTCATCGTTACGGTTCATCGTTCCCATTCTCTCTTAGCCTTGGTTTAATGTCCTTTTTCTTCGACTTCGTTTCTAGCTACTAAGGTAGTTTTGCTTTTGAAAGTTATCGTGAACGTCCAACCCTGTCGCCCGATAATCCAAGTTCCAGGTTCCAAGTTCATCACGTGGGGTATGTTACGTTGCGAAGGTTCACCTTCTAGTAGAGGACTAAAAATCTAGTCACGGAGATTAGTCGACTAATCGTATCTGTCGTTGGTCGACAAGGACCGAGAGCCAACGAGTACTCGAGTACATATTTGATCGCACTGCATCCTAATACGATGTTCCACGATTTTATTCTGAGCGACTAAATTTTAATCGAATAGAACGGAATAACAGTAGCATTAACGATTGAAACGAAGGGACCAGGAGTCCCGGTAATCCTTGAAGCTTCGAGGAGGGTGAAGTAAGACTTAGCCAGCCGAAAGACGGGATTAAAAGCCAGTTGATCTAAGAGCATCCGATTCCTTTGAAGGAATTCTCTGACGATCGACGAGATCCCTACCAGTATCCCTCCCTCCTTCCACCCCGGTGAAGAGGCGGACTGATCCTATGTTTTACTTCCAGCACCGGCGTCGTAACTCAGAATTGGAACGGATCAAGGATCACCTCGCACGACTTCGACTCGTTAGAATTTGCATAAAACGTACACGTGGCATGGACAAGCGCGGAGAATCTCTCCATCTCTGTCTCTGTAGGTACCATGCTCGGCGTGCGTCGCCCGTCATCGTCATCGTCATCCTAAACCATTGTTACGCGTCAACCTCGACGCCCCATCGCGCCTGTTTATCTACCGATAACTCGAAACGGGACGATAATACCTGAGAAAGTCCCTTTCACGAATTTTACACGCGTCACAAGCACGAGAGAATCATCGCAGATCGTCGGCTATCTCGTCGGACATCGGCCATTACGCATAATTAATTAAGGGAAAAAACGATCGCCGTTGTCCCGAGGGAGGACTTTTCTATCGAACGAAACCGACAACGAAACACATTTTTATGTAAATAAGTCACAGAACGTTCTATGTTCAAACTTACCTTGACCACTGAACATGATTGGATTTCGTAATAAAAGTCTGTTCTGCGTTTACAGAATTTTTAGTCCATCGACTCGTCCCTTTAACCGTCCCACGATTTCAGATTTTCGTTGTTTCCAAGTCTGTCTACACGCACGATTTTTACATTTGTAAAAGAATCGAACGTCAATTACCTGTCCGACGTACACGTAAAATTGTGCGATCCGAACGAGTACTGTACTTTAAGTAAGACATAAGTACGCGTGCAGATACGTGGATATCGCGCATTTTGTACTTTGTCCGCGTAAGTACTTCATACATGTATATAGAAGTGCGCGTAATTAGAAACTGACTGGAGGTAAGTATAGGAACGGCGAGGTGGGCGCGGTGGTCGGGCGGTCGTCGCGAGTCAGTCGCGTCCCGGCAGCCGTGAGGGAAGGTCGTGTTCACTATCGCGCTCTCGTTCCGCGTTACGTTTGCGCGGCCTTGGTCTCCGAATTTGGAAGTATCACGTGACACGATGCGAAGAAACGGGTCAGTGTGATCTCGTGTCGTGCGTAATAAATACGTTCAAGCGTCGAAGACACGTTGCTGCGTTACGCAATAGCCGTTGATTCGTGCCACGCGGTTAACGTTTGCGTCTTCGTCGTCGCGTCGCACCAGGAAAAATTCACGGTAAGCTCTTACGTCGATGCTGTATCATACTCGATGAGCAGCGCGGATGATCGAGTCTGTGTTCGAAAGAGCGCTCGTTTAAATTAATGCGTCGTTTCGACGATCATAGAGAGAATTCTGTTGCCTTGTCCCGGTCAACCGGTTCCGGACGCGTGAAACCTAGGTACGAAAGAGGCGTAGGACGTAGGACAACGAGAACGATAGGGACAGGTAGAACAGGTAAAAAAGAGACCTAGAACGAGAGAGGATAAACCGACACCGACCACGCACACCGCTACCGCGCTTTTCTCTTCTTCGAAATTTTGCTCGTTCAACTCCCCCTCTGTTTCTCCCTCGCACGTTGTCGTTTCAACTGACCTGGTACATACCATGTATTCGGACCTAGATAAACGCAGTTATCTCTGTGCACGCACGCAGAGTAAAGATAATATTTTCATCTTTCGATGTTCTGCATGTTCTGCTTCCCTATAAATTCGGTCTATGCGCGTCATCGCGTTACTCAAGCACGATGGTATCTATAAACAAAGAGAATTACTCGTTGAACCCGACTGGCGAGCATAAAAATAATTTGAATCGAGCCTCGGGCGAATGAATCTTGTATCGTTTTCCCCGAGCAAGAAACGTGCTCTAGAATGTAAATAGGACGAGCACAGAGCAGCATCCTGGATGAAAGCATAGAATTTAAGAACATGCCTTGTGCGCGCAATTACGCGGGCCAAAATTATGAAGCGAAAACCGCGCTTCCTCGACGAAATTTCCCGTTCGAATTTCCGGATTATCATTCAAGCTACTGTAGCGCGTGTTCTTGGCGTGTTCCCCCGTAGGAAATCGCCTAGGCAACGATGCATATTTATTACTCGGTGCGCGAGAAACGTCCAGCGACGATGCGATCCCGGCGCGGTCACGGGCCCGGTAGAAAAATCGACGCGACGGTATTTACGAGCGAACCAGTGTACTTCGCGTACGCTGTGCATACCTCGGTCTCGGTCACTCGACCCGTAACGCGATATGCGAGACGCGTGTAAGCGAAATCGGACGCGATTTTAATTATCGAATCGACACGATACAGAGTCTACAGATTCGTACTTCCGGTTCCTACCAGCGGCCGTGTCGGTCGTCATCGAAGCGCTGCAACGATCGCATCGTCCAGTACCGGATGATAATGTTTATACATTTCCGTTTCGTTAAAAATTTCGACTAAAGAGTAGACGCGACACGCGACTATCGGTCGCTGTCGTGTCTGCGATGCTCAGCGGACGGATAAAACGTTATCGTTGTAGCGTACGTCAGCCTCTCTCTCTCTCTCTCTGTGTGTGTACACCGTACGTGCGGCGGATACACTTGCACGATCGAGAAGAGTAGGTTAAAGCTAGGAGATGATCGATGGATCGGAGAGTTTCGCTCTCGGTGAACGCGAGTCAGTTTGAGTAAAGCCTGGATCGCGTCGATCGTCAGAACGGTACGTTGTTTCGGCCTCGCGGTTTGCAGCCGGTAACATGATGACCGGGATCATGCACGGGAGCAATTTCCCGATTGATCGTGAAATCGATCAACGAACACGTCGCCCACGCAGCAATATTGTACTCGCGTCGAATCAATATCGATTCTGACCGATGCCTTTGGTTTTAATCACGTGAACATCCTCGCGCTGTCAGGTTCACAGCTCCTCGAGTATCGAACCCATCGTGAGACCGGTTGACCAGCTTCCGCTAATTACGTTGATCAGTTTCTATTTTCAAGACTCGTAGTCACGAGAGAGTTTCACCTTAAACCGTTCCCTTAAAAAGCCCACTTCCCTCTCTCTCTCTCTCTCTCTCTCTCTCTCTCTCTCTCTCTCTCTCTCTCTCTCTGCCTCTTCATCCTTTTACATTCCACTATCGCTACTATCGCTTTTTCACTGAATGCAAATTTAAACGGTCGAACCAGTTCCCTTCTCTGCCTATGCCGCCAATTAAAACGCTCCTTTTCGAGCGACCACTGATCTGCTCGCGTCGCCGAATACCTTCCGCTCTGGACGTAGGTATTCCGATGTTTAAACGAGCCGCTGAATGTATTTGCGATGAAACAATCTATACGGCGTATTCTAGTGTGCGTTCTCTTTTTGATAAACATTTTCACTGTGTTCACAGAACGCGGGTCAAACGAGAGCAGTGGCCGTGTTTCCATTCTCATTGATTCGAGACAAAGAACTTCGTTGTAATTGATTCGTTCGATAGGAATTATATCAAGAACGGTAACATGATGTGAGCACTGCTTATTCATACGTGCGTGTAAAGTAAAACGTACGGTCCGCCCGACTTTGTCGTTCCTTCAAAGCTAATTATTTCCCTCCCAGTATATTTTCAATTTCCACGATGAAAATAGTTCTATCCAACATAAATTTGCTGTCGCGTAACTGCGAAAATATGAACTAACGGAACAAAATATACGTAGCCTTAGTGCTCCGAATGGAGAGCGCAATTTTCCAGCTGGGTGATCACGTATTTTTGGTACTATTCCGCTTTATGAAATTTTACAAGCGAAATTCCTGGCATTCTTCGGAAAAATGTCGATTTTTCGTTGGAACGAGTTCCATTATTTCGCGCGAGAGAAAACTAATATAACGTATGGATCTGCGTTCCTGTCGCGAATCAACGACTACCTGTTACTACATATTACTCGCGGGCAGGTATCATGCGTCATCGTAGGGATGAATCCCCCGTATATTCTCTCCGAGAACAGCGAACAAACGTTATTGAGATCGAGCATGGTTTCAACGACGATCGAATTTGTGCAGCAAGTCGGCTCAGGTACGACGGTATCGCATTTTCGTGGGAAAGTTTTCGGGAAATCCTCAAGCGAAAAAGAACACCAGTTCTCTCGTATTGTTCATGGACTAGCCTTAGTACTCGTAGAAATTATACGAGCTTGGAACTAACAATAAGTAGAGATTCGTACCTGCTCGGTCGTAAAGCGTGCCGAGACTTCTCTTGACAAAAGGCCGAAGGGTGGGCAGAGCCATCGGTCCGCAGAGCAGGGTAGTACATCCGGCAGGTAGCACTCGTGATGATCATGGAAGTATGACAGTAACAGAAAAACTCTGGTTACACTTTTATTCATCTCAATATCCCGTTGGACGACGAGAGATCTCGGAGGTTTGCCCTTGCGAGAAAGATGTTCACTCGCCGGTGGTCGTCCGTTTCGAATAACGAAATGCATCTGTCGATCGGGCTTGGACGAATCGGTCTCTTTAACTTTTTTCACTGTTGGTTGAGAAAAGAGAAAAAGTGGAGTAGGCACGTAACACCGGATACGAACGCGCGAACACGAACCGCAAAGCTGAATCTCATTGCCGAGACCTGAGTCGTGAGCGTTGTACCTCGTCGCGAGAGCAGGAAAGAGTCGCGAAAGCTCATTATTGAAGTGGCAAATCCGCACGTGCGACACCTTTCACGATTTTTATCGACGTTCTTTTACGAATAAAAGCACTCTTGTAACAAAAGGAAAGAGAATCGTCCGACGCGGTGCACTATTCTGAATTTCCCGGTTGAAAATTACGGGAAGAGAAGTCGCGATTAGTTCTCGTTTCGCTATAGGCACGTGACCGCGACCGTCCGCGGTTTTTTACCATCGTTCGTCCCTCGCATTATTTTTGGACACCTGCTGGGCCGCGAATCTTATCGTATACGCAAAAAAAAAATACGATGAGAATCCGCGATCTAGTTTCCAGGTGTCACGTTCGGCGAACGATTTTTCTCACGCGCGACAGAAGCGGAACTCGCTCTCCCATGATGAACAGTGAACGAGTACGATTTTCATTGGCCGTCGTTGAAGACATTTATGTGTACGTATGCGCGGGTGGAATTGCAACAGGAAATCTAATCCGTTCGTCCCAGTTCGCAAATAGTTCGTGGCCTTTGGTCTTATTTAATAAACGGGTGGCGAACGTCGGTGCTCGGCAAACTGACTCCGATTAGGCCAATTGAACCGTCGTCGCGTCTCCTCGTGCGTTAGTTACTGCTCGGCAAAACCTGTACTACGCAATCCGCGATAATTGAACACACACGGATTTCCAACCTCGTCGACGCGTATCCATCGTGGGTTCATGTAAGTCGAACGTATCGAAACGATCCTTCTCGTGCCTCGTCTCGGGGCTAACGAAATGGTCCAGCGTTTCTTAATAGGATCCTCCCTCGCGTCCGACGTTATATTACCTACTTAAAGGAATCGCACCCCAGGGATTCGCGCGCAAATTTGCCTTTCTCGACACCAACGAATTACGGTGAGAATAAAACGTTGATACGAAATTGATTAATTAAGGATGTATTGGCTATACAGTCAATCCCAAAAGTTTATGCAATTTAGGAACGCATTTTTTTAAAAGAAATCAGACGTCGGAAGAACATTGCTAATAATAAACAACAA